CATGAAACTTATGCGATGCTGACACGCGAACTCTGGAAGGGGATGAACTCCTGAGGCTGGCAGGAATGAAACCTATCGAAACTCTCGACTCCTGATCATCCCGATCATGGTCTCGAGGCGGTTCGAGCCTTCGTGGGGGTTCAGGGAAGCTCGCTCGGTAGGCTGCTGCGCCGTCATTCGAATCTTGCGATTGTCGCCGGAGCAGTCGTAATATCATTTAGAGATATTCTGGAGAGCACTGCGTTCGAACTCGGAGTTATCGGCTCATCGGGTAATGCAGAGCGAGCGGTCCTCATAGTTTCGCAGACTCGGGCGGTCGGTATACCATGAATGACAACATGACTCTCATGCGATGCTGACTCGCAAGCTCCGGGAGTAGATGAGCTTCTGAGGCTGGGGGGAATGCAACTTATTGGTACGCTCTCGATCCTCTGATCACACCGATCAAGTTACATCATCACACCGACTGCTGCGTCGTCTTCCGAATCGCGCCCTGGCGGAACGGTCGGGGCATCATGTGGAGAGAGCCAGTGGGGAGGAGTAACATGCAGCGAACACCGGAGAAAAACTTGATGATTTTCCGGAATAACTTGAGAACGATGCGATTGATCGAGTGGAAGATTACTTCTTACGCTAGCAGGAATGATTCTGCCGCGTCACGAAGTAATTTGAAGTCCTTTAACACAATAATTTTTTTTGTGTGAAAGGACAAAAAAAGTTTTTCGGCACAGTGACGGACCGACATTACTGCTTTATTCCACAGGGGAAAGGGGGATGCGGTGTCCCGTCTTAATCGCGGATCGCAGCGTGGAAAATGAATAGAAAATACGATGAGCTCCTCTATGGACCATATTCATGGAGTTCAGGATCAGTTCTCCGAATTCACGTTCGGATTACATTGTTCTGTTGGAGTGATGAATTCAGATGAGGCCTGATATGCTCCGAAGCATAAACTTTGGCGTAGAGTCGAAACAGTTCGGCGGCCCTGTCCGTCGCGGTCAGATCCTTGCATTCCAAATCGGGAACAGGTTCTTGGAGCTGAAATCCCGAACACTCTTACTTTGTCACAGGTTTCAAAACTGCAGAAGTTCGAACGAGCTACCCTGAGATAATTTCGTACGCGTTTCAAGTTTGCGATGGTCAGGGGATGAACTCGACGCCGCCCGGATTTCTATGGATCTTCTGATCGTAAGCACATCCAGGAAAAGAGTTCCGGCAGGAGGGAGCTCGATTCGTGTGAGAGGAAATTCGAGTGAAATACGGCGAAAGACTCACATCGATGCTCCGTATCTCGATTCGTGGATCTTGCACTCTAGGAATTTCGCCTTTCACAACGTAGCTCACGTAAGACACCGTACAATCGAACCGCTTATGATACCAGATTCCGAGCACATCTCTCTTGTTCTCCAAGCCAAAAAAGGTAGGCTGTCGCATCCTGAGCCAGAACTCGACGCTGTACATCGAACCTGAAGGGAAGAACTCAAGCTCGGATATCGCTGAAGTGAGAATTTTCTTAGGAACCAGATCTGAGGTCGAGAAGAGTGCTCTTCCTTCGAGGTACCGCGAGGAGATCACTACAAACAGAGAGATACTCACTCGAGATTTCTCTGACTATGCTATCGCCTTGTTGGACCAGTCTCGTAGCACCCAGCAGAAGCTCCGACAATCCAGACGAGGCTCCAGCGTAGAAGACCTCTTTATCACGGTAGGTCTGTCGATCGAAATGTTTTCTATCCAACGCGCGTGCCAGAGCCGCATCAACGTCGGCTCTCGACACCGTGACTGCGGGGAGTTTCCAAAGAACAATTCAAGAATTGAGGAGAAGGTAGAGGATTCCCGAGGAAAATTCGCGACGCATCGACAGGGTACAAGACCACCCGTAAGCTGACAAAGCCAGCATTCTAAAATTCCTTCAATGATTATTTGGATGGTCAGAGCATACTCTGTTCCGAAAGTCCGACTCGAGGAGCCGTCGACTCATGAACGCCTTACCCGGCTCTGGAGGTGGTTCCGTGGTGACCATCTCCTCAATATCTCGCGTGAATGTTTCTGCGAAAAGCGAAAATTTCATCAAGTCAGTGTGAGGAGGTCAAACTCGCTTTTGCACCGGTGTTGCGCTGAATCACCTCATCCTCGTACCAGTCCCCCCCGGATGGCCGATCACGGCAGAGTAGATGGCAGCCACGACAACCAGTGCACAAAATATCCTCACGATCCTCAAAATCCTGTCCCGTCTCTCTTTCTTTTTCTTTTCTCCGGCTACGGGACCGACGAAATTCTCTGTGCCTTGGGAAGCCGCAAAACCCGGAGGCAGTGTCTGAGATGCTGTCGATTTCGGAGAGATCTTCATTGGAAAACACTCCGAACTTACAGCTGGCAAAATATCAATCGAGTACATGCAGATTCTGCCCTAAGCGTCTTGTTTCACTTCAACATCCGGAGTAGGTTGGACGTACGGTAGCCGAAATAACTGAGGTCTCCGGGGGCATTCTGAGAGCCAGAAGTTTGCGGAAGCATCATATTTGACCGAGATCCGATAGCTCCGGTGTGACCTAGGTAAGGTTGCGAGCTCGAGAGCAGGCTTCGAGCTCCGTGGGTGTTTGGGATAGGCGGTCCCATCGGACCCTGCACTGTCAACGGGTCACCCATGACGACTCCTTGAGCCTGAGCGAAAGGATTTGTGGGAACCGGATGGGTGCCGAGAGCTCCCATCGGAACCCCTTCTTGGGGGATGCGACCTCGCAAGCTCTGGACAGGATTTGCTGCTACGAAGCCTGCCCCATCCAGAGTTGCGTGACCTCTTCCCCGCGAGGAATCGGATCTCGTTTGTTCATTCCAGCTCATGGTCTAATTGCTCGGATAAGACGAATTTCGTTATTCGCCCACTCTGACGATCCCGCCAGATGACTCTCGTGTCGTCATTCGTCATCTGGCCTTCCGAAACGACACCGTCAAGGTCTAGCAGCCCCAGTAGTCCAATCGCATCGCCGTCGTCGAGAATTTCAGGACCACAACACAACTGAAGTTTCCGAGAAAAAACGGAGGGTCGTTCCCCGAGTCATTCAGGAGTTCGGGAGTCACGTATTTCTCACGCGATGAGGAGCATCCTCGACAGCCTCCGGGTCGAGGATAGCGCGGAAAGTCGGAGTTCTATCCACAGAAAGCGGAGCTCAGAGGAATGGACCCCGAGAGTCGAAACTGCGAAACTTATCAACGAAGCGCTATGTATGACATGAGGAAGAGCGAGGTGAAGGTTCACGACCGAATATCGGGCGACTTTCCATCGAAACGGTGCTTCCCGACCAATCTGGAATGGGATCCGGAACTCGGTCATCCTTTCTGTTTGCGCTCAATAAAGCCGGTGGATCCATTCGTCACTTATCGCAGAAAATATGTTTTGCTCCAATCTGCATTCTTGCCCTCGCCGTAGATTCCCAAAAAAATTCAGGAATCCAAGCGCGCTCCGCCCTCAGAGGCTCGAGAAACAGAAAATCGGATCTCATGGAAATCCCCGCGAATGAAGATCGTCGCTGAAGCGAATGAAGTCTGACTCCAAGCTTTTGAGGACGGATCAGCATAAGCACTCGCTTTCCACATACACGGGAGCAGGCACCGTCCACCATTTGTGTGGGAATGGTGTGTCGACAACAACGACGTAGTTCTTCCAACTCGTCCCAATGTGACTAGCTCATCGAAGCCATCGGCTGGCGACGCGACGCAAAGCCGGATATACTGAAAGAAATGAGCAATGTCCCAATCGAAACAACTTCCACGAACGCCTGTCGTGAGACAACGAAAAAAATTCGAGAAGCGGTCGAGGGTCGGAATTCAGACCAATCTCTGACATGGTTTCTCACGCCCGAAAGCAGCGTGCCGATCACGAAAAGTGCTTCCTCAATGAGTTTGACGAGCAGCGCTCCCGCTCTGCCGCAATGTATAGAGGCACCGGAAAAACCGGCCTCGAGGGGAAAACAGAAGCAGCACAAGGTGAATCTTCCCCCCAAGAGACTGCAACCGATGCGACCCAAGCTCGCGAAATCGAGGAAGGAGTTCATCCTCCCCTTGGGGTCTCAGAAAAATACACATCGTCGAGAGCGGCCCCGCGCGCGAATCCCTCGACCAGCGGAGATAGCGATCATCACGGGCACCCTCATCATTATAATCGTTGTGGCTGTAACTCTGAATCTCCTGAATCGGTGGAGGGTACACGAAATATCCAGCACATATCGACCTCTTCTCGTCACGACCCGCCGCCCGGTCACGCGGGTGCGCTCCACTGAAACGCCTCGAAGATTGGCCCGAGCCTTGGGTTCATTGAAGAAGACCCCACCGAGAGTCAGAGGAATAGCCCATCGCGAACTTGGAAGAGTCGGTCTTCCAGATTCAGAGGAATCTAAGTTTTCATCCGCACATAATAGAATCCGTATCCAATAGATGGGATTGACGATCACTGACGCATGTTGGTGACCACTGGTTTTTAAAACCACGAATGTTTCTTTTACACCACTTCGGAGAAGATTGGGTCGAATAGGTGGCGATCGTGCGGGGAAGGGAAAGAGCCGCCGCGTCATCCGAGAGAACATTAGAGCCACTGCCCGGATTCCGAATCCCACTCAGGCGGAGTTTCGCGACTGTTTCTCTTTGTGGTGTTTCCCAATGCTCCGACCGTAGCCTGGTAGAAAGAAGGATCGGGATCATCATACCGTGAAACCCGAACCGTGTCCCCCATAGGTGATCTTCTTCGATAGGTCTGACAGTACTATTAGATGAGGAGATCCCCATGCAGTTTCTGTCGCCTGATTGCTTCAAATGCTTCGAAACTGCTCTTGTCCTCAAGCTGAGGTTAAGTCACTTCACTCAATCTGGTCGTTCCACGATCGATGACCATCTCCCATCTTGGAAGAAGAATTGCGTCTTCGTGTTAGCTCGCACTAAAAATTTGACGACTCCAAGCCCTTCCCCTCTCGCGTTGGAATCGAGCCTTGTTATGGTGCTGAGCTATTACAACTCCGAATTCGCTCGAGCTGGTCGCTGTCAATCACGACGAAATATAGGTTCGGAAGCAAACGATGATGATTCCTGTGTTGTCATTCGCGATTCTTCTCGTCAGTGGTGAGTCGTCGTCGGAGACAGCTATTCTCGATGACTAGCGTGGTAAAAGCGTATTTACGTGGTCTACAAGCAGCAGAGACATGGTCACAGAAGACGCAGATAAAGCATATCCTAGCTCATTCGATCAGTAATCAGGGGAAAATGTACATGTGAAGAGGTGAAGACGTGGAGCCGCGTACACCCAGAGGCCTGCGGCCATCAATGCTGTGAAGGAAGGTCGATGAGCGTCGATAGTATGCGAGCCCATCCGCGGGAAGATGATGCGCTCCGGCAAAAATGTAGATCATGTACGGGACACTTTGAGTAAAGGGATCAGGTTTCATCCAAAGAGGCTAAATTCCGATTCCCGCAGGGCGATTTCTATGATTCCATCGATTGAGATGCCGCTCTGACTAGAGGCTAAACCGAGGCAGGTATCCGTGACTTCATCTGAATGTTTGAAACATACCACGGCACAGAACTACGCTCATTGTGAGGCGCATCAACGATGATAGGAGGTCGAGATGACAGAATAGACTATGAGACAGAGAAAAAATCGCGAGAAGGCGGGTTGTGACATTCGAATCCTGTCCTCGGTCCCTGCAAGAGAGCTAGGGATACTCGCCTTGGGTTGAGCCGAGCATGACGAATCGTAACGTCAGTGCACCCCTCCCAACAGCAGGAGTGCGCGAAATCGGAGCTTCAGCAATAAGCCCTATCGATGGAATCCCCGATTCCCATTCTGAACCCGCCGGCTTGCGGACACTGCTCGATGGGACGGATAAACTTCACGGGAAATCGGAGCCTCGAGCTCGATCGGAGACCCTACCGCTCATCCGGATCGTCTATGTCGGGGACGACGACTTGGAGATCGATCCGTCTAGTTTGCGGTTCATTGTACGCTACGGAAACTCGGGTAAGTGACTGATAATTAGAATCAAACACCTAGGCCTCCGATCCGGGATACGGTCATATCGCAATGTTCCTCTTTAGTCGTACCTGCGGCTAAGATCCAGGAAAAATGGGAGGATATACAGGCAGAGGTGGAAAAGGTAAGATGACCCCTATCTGTCCCGCCGCGCTGTACGTTAATGTCATGAAGTCTGGGCTTGCGCGGATCCCGTCAAGCGTCTGAATTGTAGGTGGCTCAGGAGAACGGTATCGAGATCGATGTTGGAATCGAGCACCGGAACGTCGGCGACGACGACAACGAAACGGATGCTGATGCGCAGCATGAGGAGACAGGTGTCGCAACCTGGCAGTACATCGCAATGGGGGTCGCAGTCGCCGTAGTCGTTTCAATCGCGGTAGCATCGATCGCAGCTGTCCTTCGAAAACGGAGTCAGACTCTCAGACACGCGGAGGATTCGATGAGGGTCACTTCCCCGTGAGGAGGCATCGAGAGGACCCGCATAGAAAAGAGCGCGACCTCAGGCACCTGTGTTGCCGTGGTTTTGTCTTCACTTCTCGCATGCAAGCATAATTTCATAGTAGAATTACATATCGGAGACCTCGGAGTGACTTCCGGTTTTCAAGCTCGAGGAACATCGAAGAACTCAGGAAGGCAAACAGCTCTAGGAGATTTTCGCGGGGCTCAAAGCGGAGAAGTTGATCGATGGACGCGCAGGAGCCCGATTCCTCGACACGATACTTCACATCGCATTCCCGATATATGCCTCATCTATCTCCAGTATTCGATGGTCCTCCGAAAATTCGATTGTCGTGAAAAGACCAGAACTAGCGCGATGATTATCCCTCCAAAGAGGAGCCTGTCTTTTTGACCCAATAAATCTCAGAAGGAACGAAATTTTTCCGCGTCGATTCATTCATTATTCTATGGTCGGATGACTTGGACCTCCTCCTCTGCATTCATAGCATTCTGCTGGTCAGAGAAGATTGGGAGCGCAGAAGCTCCATGGCGGGCTTCGTATTTCATGGAACTTCTTTTTCATTGTCATTTGTGAAGCAAAAAAAATAAAAAGTTCATGGAACTACGATGGAGAGGCGCTGTCCCTAGCTCGACCCGCGTCTTGTCAGCGGGTTGAATTCACGGATAGGATCCCCGAATCTTTCTGCTCGAACACGAGCAGAAATGAGAATGTTTCGCTACCGATATCATGAGCCTCCATTCGCTCAGCTGTCATCTTAAGGTATCTAGCCGGTGATATCCTTCGCCTTATCTACTTCAGCGAAGCCAGCTGGACTTTCATTGCGGAATCTCTAGGCCGGCCCTCCTGACGCGCGATTGCTTCGGGGAACGAAATGGTCCTAGGAAGGGACTGAGTCAGTGTTCAAGTATAAACCCTCGAGAAACGGTAAAACGTTGCTATCCTTGTTTTCGAGCTCAATTCAAGTCGGAGGCAAGATATTCAAGACGATATTCATAAATTTTCGAAAGTAGTGCCGCAGAGAGCGAATGACTGGTCGGGTACTAGGAAAGAATCAGTGAGCCTGACACGCCTTTCTCCGCAAAATCAGGTGCCACCACCTGTATGACGTGTGTGTGTATGTGCGTCTACCCAAATTGAATCCCGACTCTGAGTACAGAGCGTCCAAGCAAGAAGACGTCCTGGAGAATTTTCGTACACTTCCAGGATGCCGGGCGCTGCAAAGGCTTCCGGCTCATTCGATCAACCGGGGTCCGGATAATGCACTCCCAAATCTCAAGCACCATGAGGGCTGGAACATCTCCTCCGCTCGCTGGGGTTTGAAGAGCTTCACCCCTATCGGCCTCAAGCCTCTTGCGGTCTGTCTTGTGGGAAATCGAGCGCGGACGGTAGCAAGCAAATCCGAAAACACGCCTACCGGAGCGAGAATCTAGTAGCGTCGTAGCCTTATTCCGTGAAGCGTCGTGGCGTGAATATCCGCGATCGATGTAAAAGTTGATGATGCCATAAAACGCCCAGTATCCCAATCTGTATTGTCCTCTCCGAATGTCGAGCGTGAACCCGCACTGACATCCATGAGAATCATTCGTTTGGTAAAATCCTCTCGAATACATATTCACATCGAGCCTGCTGGAAGATCAAGAGATGTGGCTTGCATCACTTCGCTTCACTCTGTTTTTTCTGCGTAAGTGTTTCTCCCATCGAGCTGTTAGTCCGTGATAATGTCCATGAAGCTGGAGATTCAGGGGATAGCTCCTGGAGGACCCGCGCTTGGATTCGATCGGCGAGTCCGGGCTCTCGGAAATTCCCGAGAATGACTCGAATAGTTCCTCTTTCGGTTCCAGTTGCATTCCTTCCGGTCGAGTCTGTCAATCACAGGGTCATTGAGGGCAGTCCCGCATCTTCCGGAAACGCAGCCGAGATTTCCATCTCGCGAGAAGCTGGGAGCACGGTGAGCCTCGAACATTACTTGAGGACAGGATTTTGATTGAAACCGTCTCCGAGCTCAATAGCTTTATTTCATAACGCTAGGTTGAAGAGCCCGTGGATTCTCGACCCAGGGAATCCCGCCGCATAACTCATGGGTCCTACGAAGAAGAGTTTTCCGGGTTACCGACAAACCCAGGCGGAAGACCCGACGGAGGAGATCCTATGAGCTCGAGAATAACAGGTAGATTGGTAAATCAGCGAGGCTACCGCCGAGGATTGTCCATTTGGCATTGCACCCAAAGGCGAGGAAAATATCGTTGGTTCAGTCCTCACATATACATATAGCGGACGCTCCATCGGCGGCTAGCTGTCGCGATTGAATCAATCGGTCCCTCTGATGATTGATACTGTGCATGGTGAGAGTGGTATGAATGAGGTATAGGGAGTCATGAGAAAGTGGAATGAGCGAGTGACTAGGACTAAGTAACTAGTCTCCTCCCCAGGACGAGAGAAGTCTGCGACTCGAGATGGACGGTCGGCACTAGATTTTTGATGCCGCCGATCCAAAATCGATCTGATTGTGGCCTTTTTTTCAAGGAATGACTTCAGCTGCAGGTGTCCCGAGTCAGAAATACGAAATCGTCCGCTTCTCTGATCTGCGTCCGGAGGAGCGAGCTGAAATAACGACGATGCGAGTTGTAAAGGAAAATGTAAGAGAGAAGAAGATGGGGCGACGGCAAAAGATCCTCTTTCACCCACCTGGAACTTTTGGGTAATTCCTCGTCCTGATAGTCCTGGCGCGTTCTTGATCCATAGATACGGTGGCGATCCGTGGCTCGCAAGGGGGGCGTACCATCGAGCCAGGCAAATCGGATCGGGAGCTCGATACTTATCCTTCATCGGAGTCAGAGAGAGCCTACTCATTCTCAAGACTATCACACTCGCTTTTCAGTCGTCGACCCAGTATCAGGAGATGATCCTAGAGCTCATTCGGAGAGGCATTGAGAATGTCGTCGAGCCGCTGCTGATAGAGGGAATCACGACACAATCATCGGGGCTGGTCTCGACGCCTGTGCCGATTTTTTCTGGTTCTATTCCAACCAAAGGTGGAGCTTTTTCTTCTTTGAGCTCGACATCATCCTCGCCAAAATCAGCTTCCCCTTCAACCTCTTCCGAGTCGAATTCGAAATTTTTCGAGCAAACTTCAGCTTCTACCATCATGAATTCAGCGAATTCCACGGAAACGTCGGTCCCTTCTGACATGACTTCGGCACCTCTCACGGAATTCGCGTCTTCTTCGTTAGTTTCCACGCCATCTCCGGCCGCTTCTTCACAGATGGATTCAACGCCTCCTACACGAACTTTGGCCCCCCCAGAAGTGAGTCCCTCAACATCTACGCAACCTCCGGCATCTTCAGAGATGAATTCGACGACTTTCACACGCACTGCGGCCTCCCCAGAAGCAAAATCCTCATCTTCTGCACGGACTTCGGCCTCTTCAGTTATGGACTCGAGGCCTCCACTTCACACTCCAGCCTACACAGGAGTGAATTCCTCACGTCCCACACAAACTTCGGCCTCTCCAGAGATGAATTCGACGATTCTAACGCACACATCGACCTCCCCGGAAGCGAATGCCCCACCATCTGCACAGACTTCGGTATCTCCAGATATGAATTCAATGACTTCCGAACGCACCCAAGCCTACCCAGGATTGAATTCCTCACGTCCCACACAAAAGTCGGTCTTCCCAGAGGAAAATTCGACGACTCCTTCACACACTTCGACCTCCACAGAAGCGAATTCCTCAACTTCTGCACGGACATCGGTCTCTTCAGTGATGGATTTGACGCCTTCCAAACGCACTTCAGCCTACCCAGGAGTGGATTTCTCACATTCCACACAAAGGTCGGCCTCTCCAGGGATGAACTCGACGATTCTCACGCACACATCGACCTCCCCAGAAACGAATCCCAAACATTCCCCGTGGACTTCGGCCTCTCCAGATATGGATTCGACGCCTTCCACACACGCTTCAGCCTCCGAAGACACGAGTTCCTCACTTTCTTCACGAACTTCGGCCTCTTCAGAGGTGCACTCGACGTATTCAATAAACACTCCCGCCTCCCTAGAAGGGAATTCCTCATCTATCACGCGAACATCAGCTTCTACAGATATAGATTCGACGCCTTCAACACACTTCTCGGCCTCCCCAGAGGAGAATTCCCCCCCATCTGACCAACCTACGGACTCTACGGAGATGGAATCGACGCCTTCAACACACTTCCGGCCTCCCCAGAGGAGAATTCCTCCCCATCTGACCAACCTACGGCCTCTACGGAGAGGGAATCGACGCCTTCAACACACACTCCGGCCTCCCCAGAAGAGAATTCCTCCCCATCTGACCAACCTACGGCCTCTACGGAGATGGAATCGACGCCTTCAACACACACTACGGCCTCCCCAGAGGTGAATTCCCCTTCCACACAAACGGAGGCGCCTCCGGGGATAGATTCGACGTTTTCCACTCACACTTCGGCCTCCCCAGGAGAAGATCCTCACCTTCTACCTCAACTTCGGCCTATCCATAGATGGATTGAATAACCAACCAGCGGACTTCAGTTTCCGCTCTTGAGAATCCGACGCCTTCAGCGAAAAAAGCTGCTCTGAATGTGAATTCGAACCGCCACGAGACTTCCTCTGTATGTGGATTCAACGAGAGTGTCTGTCGGTGACGCGGCGACGATTTCGAGCAAAACATGAACTCTCTGTTACGCATCGCAGGCTCCTCGCTCGGGGCGTAGACGACGAGAGATGAGGACGTTGAGGCAAGCATGTAAAGCTAGAGCGATCGTGATCAAGATAGGTTTCGCCATATTTTTCCAGGAGGATTCCTGCTCATCATTATGACTCACATATCCCACTAGCTAATGAACCCGAGTTGCTCCAGCGACAGTTCCAGAATACGGTCGAATACTGCATGTTCAGACGAAAAGACGATCTGTACGATATCAATCATGGGTCCACCGATCGGCGGGAAGATGAACCGCCACCAAACCTTCGGTGTGAGCAGAATCATCGTCATCTCATGGGGTCGCATGAGAGCCAGGCATTATACAGGAGGCTTGGAAGCTAGGAGAATGAGTACGAGAGAGATTCTGCATACTTCTTTTTCGAAGGGGAAAAGCTCTTATAGATACTGAGTAGGAGGACATCGGAGATTGGCAGAAAGGAAATTCATGTGAGTCATTCCGTTCGAACGAATGTCGGTGGAATCTTCAGCAATCGAGACTAGTCATTTCATAGAAACGAGTACTCACGAGCTCATGTGGAGCGGAGGAACCCCGTGCTCCAGGAGCTACCGAGCTCTCCGAGGAGCCTGCAGGGAGCGATTGCTGCGAACGAGCGATGGATATTATTCTTCTTGGACGAGAGCCCGGCCTCGAATACAATGATTGGAATAGAGAAGAACGGATTTTTTTTCGAACCGTAGCCGCAAAGTCTTCCGGGTTATCTCATCTTTCACAGGGAGAAGCCTCAAGACCAATCTACCTCCTAGCCCCTGGAATGGGTCATACGATAATTTATTCGAGCTCGATCGAGACTTCGTAGGCGTCGGGCACAAGACCTCTGAGCAGGGGCACGCCAAAATTATTTTTGTTGGGAGGGCCAACTCGACTTTTGGCGGGGGTGTCACGCCTGAGATTTCCCTGAGATATTCGTCAGACCAAACCGGTATAGGAGGCGTTCTTCTTATTTGTCCGGGGAAACGTATGGGAGTTATCGTTGACTCTTCAAGCATTACCTTCCCCTCTATACTAGGCAACATCACATTCATCTCAGCAGCATGACGATTAACCTGCTTCTCTCATCTTCATTCTTCCCATCTTACTCCGAAGATTATCATCATTGTGACAGTTGAGCTGGGCGTATTTGTAGGGCTACCGCTTGGTTAGATTTCCTTAGCGGTTCCGAAAGAAGCTGTCCGCCTATCCCCAGACGCTTCTCTGGTGAGTCGTATTCTTCCACTCGATCTGAGTCCAACGCGAGAATTCTAGGAAGAGATTTCCCTTGAATGATGATTAACATGATACGATTTTCCCGCAACTCCGGCTGTCGGTCTCGGAGACGCATGGAAAGGCATCTCGTTGGCATCCCCTCAGTAGGAGGCAAGCAGATTCTTTCTGTGGACTCGTGTACTAACCTGACGTAATGGATTACTGTATTGATTCTATGCGCCATCGTCAGTATGGCACTCCCCGAGATTCATTTCTGAATGATCTCCTCGGTCTTGACGTATACCGAGACAGGCGCCCCCTCCTGAGCGCAAACCCGACTCTTCCTCAGCTCGGCGCTGTCCTACCGAGAAATCGCTACCACCCTCGGCAATCATCATATCGATTCCTGGAATCGGATTGTACAGGAGCTTCCATAGCTTTCAGCTTGGCTTTCCCCGGGAAGCTTTTCCAAACTTCGGAAACACATCTCAGCCTTGGACTCACACTCCAAGACTCTGATTCTCCAGGATGGGTAAAATTATTCGACTCCCTAGCAGGCCCGTAGCCAGGCCGAAAGTCTGGGGCTATAGCCTCACGTTTTTTTGTAGGGGTGAATCTAGCCTCATGGATAGCCTCAGAAACCGGAATTCGGTTCCGTCGAGAACCATATGTGGAGCGATAAGAGCTTTCTGCTAGATCTACGGTATTTACTTCCGTCATTCTCGCTCGCTCCAACGCTCTCGCTTTCTGGCCAACGTGCGCGTGAATCGCAGTCAGATACAATTGGGACTAATTTCTCAACAACAGAGTCCACACACTCCCTGGAAGTAGCAGGAGACTGAGCTTTTCTTCGTCGGTATTCCATACGTTGGGATGTGATACCCCTAATATAAGACATGAGTCTCGAGAATGAACTGTAGCATCAACGCGACAAAAAATGCCGTTCTCACTCGAAAATTGAGGCTAGCCTCAGTTTTTCGGATGAGGCTGAGCCTCATAGAGAGATATGTCTGGCTACGGGCCTGCTCCCACGCCGATCAACTCGCTTTCGAACTTGGTGCCTTGAAGAACTCGCTCGGTATGCGGGAAGCCAGCTTCGAGAATTTAAGATGTTCTGACGAACGCGTTCAGTGTATATGTAGCCGTCGGCACGTGAGTGAGACTCAGTCCCGCCGTCCAAACTCTCCCTTATGGCCACCGACACGGTCCTGCACAGAATTATGAAGATGTAGGTGCAAGCGTCTGTGCGAATTTCCAGCCACCTGGGAGGATCTGTATGAATATCCTATCATGAAACAGGAGTAGAAGCTCTGGTGTATTAACATTTCTGCCTGGCACTGACTCGTTTCAAGAAGTCTCGGGTGAATAACACGCTCTACGCAGGACGATGCAATGATTTCGGAGCTTTGGAGCGTTTCAGAGAAACGCGAGATGATCGGGGAGGGATTTTCTCGCTCAAGGCACCCAGCATGACGCCTCGTAACTCTCATACCGCCCCCGGAAAGGTTCGAGGGTGGAAGTTATCAGCTCATCATTCATCATCGAAGCAAGAATGCAAGAGGCGAGTCGTCCGGCTATACACCCGAAATCTACCTCCTCGATGAAGTAGGTCGGCCCGTGAAAGTAACGATAGCGACGACACACCTCGGTACTTTGTAGCAGAATACAATTCGGTCGATATGTCGAGCGGTCGCCAGGACGATGAATGACGTCACTGTATCTCTCTACCATCTCTCGGTCTATGGCGTTGACCCACATTCGAGTTTGAGGCAACGAGATAAGATGATAGCCTTTATTTTCATGTTCGTGCTTTTTCTCATCGAGGCAGTCGAGATCTCAGGGAGCGGCGTTTGATGGGAAACAAGCACTTTATGCCGCAGCTCCAGCCTGGACGAATTGCGGGACTACTCATAGCGAAGACCCACCTACATGTCCGCGACAAGACTCATTCTAGCATTGGTATTTCTCAACTCTTCCCCGAGTGACTGAACGTCCGGAGCGCCATCTGGAAGTATCGCTCCTCGCAAAATACGTAACCCACCCCGCCACAACATTCCGCAGCGGAATCGAGCTCTGGGGTTGCCCCTTGTATCTCTCCCTTCTGAGGTGAGACAGAGGAAGATATTTTTCCACCGCATGAAACTCCCCATCAGCTCCCCTCAAGAAAAACCAGATGGATGGACAAGACCTGGGACGTCCCTGTCTTCCCGGCGGATTTTATATAAATATGAACATATTTACATCCGGCGAATAAATGGATGACCATAAATTACGGTGTAAGGTGCCCTTGAACGCTGCCAGGGACCAATATTCGCTCCACGTTCCTGAGTTGGAGCCCTCCTACCGCGAATCTGGGCCACCGTCGAACCACGAAATCCGAGAGACAATTGATCCATCTCTGTACCTCGGAAGGATGCTGCTCGTCATTCTACATGGGTGGCTCGTTCTCGGTCGAGAGCACGTTGGAATTGAATATCATTGCCGGCTCAGGTAAGCCTGCCATTCTTCGTTTTTCCGTTCGTGTGGCGTCATCTCTGGCTGACTGAATCGCCCGTGCAAGTGAGAACCGCCGACCGTCCACGACGGTTGCCGCGAATGCTGACGCCACCCTGAAATTCGGTATATCGAAAGACACCATTGCGAAGAGAGTCAGCCGATCTTGATACGAGCAACATCAACTGTCGGAATCCGGTGACAGGGGAATCCTCTCTATTTGAGGGAGGTCGCTCAGCCCGAGCTTGGAACCGGATCAGCACGCGAAAAACGGTATCCACGATTACACGGACGCCAAAAGCGTCCGATTAGCCTACAATCTGAGATGGGGAGTCGATCTGTGTTGAATACGTACGTTTCTGGGGAGGTTTCTTTAACGATTTCTTGTGCGGAGTAACGAGACGGCGCGCTTCTTCCAGATCAGGGGTGATGTCCTTGTGGTGGCCATAAGCCGGTGGCCAGCCGCCTTGATGCGGTCGCACGGCAGGCGTTTGAACCCATCCCGTAAGCGGGTTCAAGACGGGTTTGAGCGATGGAGCTCCTTGGGTGAAATCAGATAATGCGGCTCGGCTCTCGGTTCTACTTTCCGTCGGAGGCTTCGGAATCTTATCGAGGTGACTACCCGCTCGATTGAAGTCGTTTGTGACGGATCCTGAATATGCAGACCTACGGTGCTCACGAAATGTTTCGGGATCTTCGCTAAATCTCAGCGGAGCGTCTCCGAAATCTGCCGCAGTGAATTGCTTAGAGATTCCCAGCTGATACCTCCTCCCATCGTTGATACTTCCGGGATCCCCAATAACTGGTTTCTCCTCTGAGGAGTCGTCTCGATGCTGCGGGAAGTTCTGGAACCTGAAAGGGCTCACCGTGAGCTTCCTCTAAATTCCTCCAGTCCTACGAATTCATATTCTTGGCGACTTCGATCCCATCCCTTACCCCGGGTTGGACAGAAAGCTCTCCGGGGTTTTCTGAAGAATGATGACGGGTAAAATATGAGATCGTTCATCGTCACGGTAGCTACCCTCGGTTCGGACCGCGGGCTCAGCTACGAACTTGGTCTGCAGATCCGCTGGAGCGTTCGAGAACTTTCCTGAACCTGGAAATCACAGTTGATCGCTCGCCTCTGATAGGGAACAAATCGTAGAACTCGATCGAATCCTACCCGCGGGACAACTCACCCTCTTGGTCGGACAAAACTCGGCCCGCTTTCACGAAGATGCCAGTATTTTTCATCGGCCTAGCTTCCGGTTTCTCGACGGGAGGGATTCGTTCAAGTTTGTTGAATGTTGGGTATCCCGGCTTAGGAGAGTCAGTTCGATTCTCAGGACTCCGTCGATATTCTCCTTGTCCATGGTATGGGGCCTGAGCTCCGGGATCGTCTTCGCGAACTTCGCCGTGGTACTGCTTTTTCTCCAAGACCGAGTTATCGGCTTCCCTTCGGTGAATCGGATCCAGTTCTCCATCTGCATTGGACGACTTGAGTCGGTGGGCTTTCACGTTCAATTCGGATCTTCCTGCTTCGGCAATTCCGAGTTCTTGGGCAGTTGTTGGACCTGGGACTTGATATCCGATGTGACGTTCGATTATGATGACTGGGATCGACGCCCCATCTGGTTCGAGATGGAGCTCCGATACGGCCCCGCCTTAGGACGAATTGGAGTGTTCTCAATCCATCGGGGTAAAGTTCAGATATATTGTCGCAGGAGAACCAAGAAGAATTCAATCCAGATTCGATTCGGAAAATAAGGAAACTGTAAATAATATGGATCTCACCGCCTGGAGCCCTAGATTCAGAGTTCCCTCTCGTAGACAAATGTGAAGTAGCTCCTCTTTCCCCGACTGCCGTGGGAACGTAGACGACCTTGATCTCTCGGGTATCGAAATTACGGAGCAGGGTTGTGGCGATCTTGTTCCCGTTTCCACGAGCGAGCGCTTCCTTGGAGGGCTCCCTCTCCGAAAGTGGGTGATCCGTCTCTCGCACCACCGGCTGAATGGGATAATCCGGTCGGAAAGCGGAACTTCCGATGTGACTTCTGGCGTATGTCTCATGGAGGCGAGGAGATCCGTTAACACAGCTCGGTATGACCGTCAGAAGAACCTAGATCACAGCGAGGAACATTAGGCGATCGAGCTCATTCAGCGGTGGAATACTAGGCAAGAAACACTTCTACTCGTCATCAGGAATCGTCAGGATCACGCACAATCACAATTCTCATCGTTGAATCTCTCCGCTCACAGAGATCCTGATTCCATGAGCCGAGATCGAGTGCTTCAGTCCACGACAGTAACCCACAAGAATACTACCACTTAGCGAGCAGCTCTTGACTGGCGGGGATTCTGAGCCGCGGCTCCGTGGGGCCGCTTTCAGGGACTCCGGGGAGGGCCGAACAAAAGGCATATCTCGCATTCATACGTCCACTGAAGTTTTTCGTCAGAGACAGAAGAGGCAGTCACGTAACTGTCGGCTCTTGTCTGCGAAGCTCGGAACTGATTATGATTTATGAAGAGGCGGAGAATTTCTGTAAGTTAGAGGGCCGTCGATTTTTGAGGATGATGGATTCTCTCTCATTGGAATACTGATACATGAGGATGGATCGAAAGTCTCGAGTCAATCGGATCGGAATCAACGAGCCTCAAGGTCTCGCGGCTTTGAGACCGGCCCTCCGTGATTAATGGAACCCGAAACATGATCAACCCTTCCACTAATCTCTTATTCGAAGCCACGAAAGGGGGACTTGACCCGAAGCCATTGGAGAGAATCGAGGCCACGAAGAAATCCCGAGTCGTACTCGATGACACTCCCGGCCAAGAAGCGCATCTCACCCTGCGCATCAGTGATTTAGCGCCACGAGGCTTTCAACCGTGTATTCATTTTGAGCTAACATGGCTCTTTTATCCTTTTAAAGACGAGAAAACAAAAGCGTCTTACGGCAGTCAAATCAGTGACGAGACCTTGTCCATATGGTGACTGTGGGACTTTCTGAATCTAATAAATCCGTCCTTCACGACCAAGCTGAGCACTGCTTCAATTTCAGAGAAGCAATGTATTTCCTTTCTAACGAGACTATGCTTGGTACTTTGGTCTGAACCGTTGTTGCGTGCTCTTCTTCCCGGGCTAGCCAACTGGTTCCTTGATTTCCATTCATTTCTGCTCATCTCGTCATATGCAATCGTTCGTTTCCATCTTGCATCCTAAGTTTCTGGCTCCGATGTGTCCTAGAAATATCGTCGTGGCAAAATCGGAGGCGATATTCGTCGAAACGGCAAGACCGAACGGCCGGCCCAGCCTGTAATTCCACAAAATATGATCAAAATATAATGGATATGCCGAAATGGCCCCGACCCGGCTCTTGTCCTGAGTTCGGAGATCTTCCCATCGCTTCCGTTGATCGGCTGGAGTCGCCTTGGTGCAAGAACTCTATTGCTCCGGTGCCGGATGGCACGTTCTTAGCGGATATCCACGCTCTCCAACTTTTCAAGACTGTTCCTTGATGCACTCAAAGACGAGTGAAGCCCGGCTCCTCGAAGCTCCTCCTGCCTCGACGAAGATCATGGGAACAAAGATTCTCTCGAGAGAGCGGTAGATCGGGGATCGAAGTCTTCATGAGCTCAAGAGCTCCCTGTCTATTTTACTGTAGGAAGCAAAACGGGTAGGAAGTGGGAACCTCTGGGTCGATGAAACTCCATTTTAGATTCGACGCCATTGGCGCTCGAAAATTCGTTGACGATGCGAGATGTCACGTTTTGGGGGACAGATTCCTGGCCATTAAGCCGCAAACAGTTCTAGAGAGACCGAAGAACCCTTTAATGTTGGTCTAGACTCCCCAGATGAAAGCGAGTTGAAGAAATTAAATTCATCACTGGGGATAAGCTTCTCAGACGTCCGAAGACATCGGTTTTTTTCGAACACCGAATCGGGGAATCGGTGCACGAGCGTGCGGAAATTATCCTCCGTGAGCCTGGAATCTCCCCCATTCAGATGCATGAATGAGTTGATGAACTGAAATCTCGGGTGACATCGAGAATGGAAGGATTGACGACCGCAAACGCCTCCCGGAGCTGCTCGAAGACCGCGTCAAAGAGAGGACAGAGAGTCATTCCATGAGATCATATTGGCATCCGTTTTACCCTGAGTCTGACCACTGAAGTGGCTTAGCCAGCGCATGAAGAAGAGACACAGCTGAACAGACATGAACAAACACCATCGTCGACTCATCTGAGAATCCCTTCCGCTCTTCGCAGAAATGCGCGAAGTGTGTCGCTGAACATGACCAGGATCAGGGCGAGCGTCGAGCCTTCGATCGCGGAGAGCTTTGTCAAAGATACGAATATCCTGAGGACGCCTGCTTCGTGGGAATATCCATGCATATATCTTAGAATCTCCACAAGTATTACGACACAAATCGGGCTTTATATTCGTATTCGAATTTGTATGTTTCAACGAAATGAATGATTGGCGCGAGGAATCAATCGACGACAGTTGAGTAGAGGAGCCGTCCGCCATATCATACCTCTCGGTCTCTCGGAGCCGGACTCTTCTCAATCCGAATGATGAATCGATGCGACTCAAAGTCCGAATGAGATTTCACCTGCGAAGGAGTAGCTGCCGGGGTCCCATTGCCCCATCGCACGGCAGCAATGTGAGTGATACGCGGCACCTTCTCATTATTTAGCACTTAAAGAAGAGGGGCACGATAAGGACGAACCCGTGTTAAGAAAGCATCCATTCTCTGAGATATTCCTCGAGTGAGAATAAAACCGACCCCATTATTCTCGATGATCAACACATAGCCAAGCGGACCGGCCGAGTAAAGTCGTGTCATGTATCGACCTCCCACTATGATCACAAAGAGTCTACCTAATAAATTAATCAAATCCATCTCAAAATTTGCGCTCGGGCTCAAGCGAGTGAATCTGACTTTTGAAGGGTTTAATATACCGTGGCCGTCCTCGTCAAAAAGGAGGATCTATCTATGGGTTTGATTCCGGATGGAGCTTCGCTCCGAGTCTCCATGTGACTCTTTCCGACGTCTGGAGACGCACAAAATCGAACAAACGGTGCCGGATCGTTGGTCCGGAAGTCAATCTCTGATATCGACACTCGCATTAACGAGCTCGCTCCAGCTTGATATAGGTGATGCTGATTATGCGAAGTGCGCTATTTACTGCCGAGACCATCCTTTCGGGGCTTCAGCTTCGCTTTCTTATACACCTCCTCATCAACATAAGTCATGTCCACCGCTCTATCGGGGTGCCTCCGGAGAAACTTGGCCAATAGTTCTTGATCGACCGCCGTAGCCGCGTTGAGACCGAAGAAAATGACGGACATGAATGCGACAAGCACTGTAGAGCAAAATCCTGAGATTGGCACAAGAAGATACGATATCCTCGCCGCAGTCGCTTTGGCGGGGTCCTCCAAAGCATGAATGGATGTAGAATTATTCACCAGGCCTCCCGCGGGAGCGTCAATGCATCCTCCGATAGAAGTTGCGAGAGTGCGGGAGTCCGATGTGAGTGACGTCGCTACAATGGCAATGCACAGCGTCTGCCCGACAATTAGTCCCAACAACGCAGACTTTCCGTTGATTCGAGGCGCCAGCATTCCGAGGGTGAAAACTCCGAGTAGAGGGCCGGAGAGAGCCCCGGACATGGCGAAAGCGGCTTTGATCAAGCTCTCGACAGAACCCGCGAGGAAAGCGAGACCGATCGACAAGAAGCCGTATGTCGCCGCTGAAAAGGTAAGACTTCGCTATCGGATCGGGCATGACTCTAACTTCGCTAACCAGGCTCAACGGAAGCCCTTCTCTGGTCGAGTCTTGGGAAAGCTCCGAAGATCGTCTACGGAAGACATCTCAACTGACCAGCGATTTTGGTGACGACGATCGCAGGCAGGGGTATGTTTACGAATTGGAGGAAGTCCTCGTAGGCCACCGCTGCCAGTGAATTGAAACCGGAGCTCATCGTCGAGAGGGCCGCCGAGAAAATCACAGCAACGAACAATCCAGGCAGACCGGGAGTCGATCCAAGAACGTCCATGACGAAGAACGGCATGAGCTGATCGGTTCTATGGATGTATCCCGCCTTCAGCGGATCGCAGTCGTAGTATTTCGCGTAGATGACCAGACCTTGGTGGAGGGAATTCCCGGCATTAGATAATAATCGATTCCGCTACGGGGCTTCCCTTCGAGAGTATCGAATCTCACCGGCGAGGCAGCCGAGGGATATGTTGAGCATGACTCCGGGAATGTTGCAGTATAACGCGATTTTAGCTTCCCGCAGACTGGAAACAGAACACAAACGTTGCACTTCGGTTTGAGACGTTCCGTAGGATCCCAGCCATACCATCGAGGTCCCTGTGGGAGGAAATTCGTCAGAGTCGCGGAAGGGTGCCGGGAGCAGCGATTTCGATCGAATGTATTCGGGCTATTGACAGAACTGGGTAAAGACGTTTGCCGCGGCATCCCGACCGAGGGGGTAGATCGATTTTTCTCACCGAGCAATACATTCCAGATCACGGTTCCTGAGCTGGGATCCCACCCCGAGTTGAAGAGCTGTATACGACCACCTTGGTCTGCTCTCGCGAAGACCTCCGTAAGACCGCCAGCTTCGACAATACCGGTCACACAAAGAGCAATCATGCCCACGATAGCTACTGACATCTGCATCACGTCAGTCCACACGACGGCCTTCACGCCTCCCTGAGGATACAGGGGTTGAGCCTCTACATACAAGTCGTTCCCTCCGAGGCTCGATGGACGACTCCCCCTCCCCTCCTCATATATGTATATGCAGAGACATCTCTCACCAATGTCGTGTAGAATGTACACAAAAGACCCAATCCCACAATCGACACCCACACGGGCACCCCGATGACAGGTTCCAATGCGAGGGATGGTCCGTACAGGACGACCCCCATGTAGAGTAGGTTGTTGATAGTGAAAGAAACGGCAGCAAGCATCCGAACCGAACGATTGAATCTCCGTTCGAGATACTACATGGAAGAAAAGACGATTTAATCTGGATGAGTCTGGCTCTATCGTAGAGTTCCCGCGCTCCGCATCAGTTCGTATGGCTGTTCTACTCCAGCGGCGATGGAAATCTTGAGGATGCCGGGCGCTTACCTCGTTCACCGAACTCAATCTAAGCTCGTACAGGACCGGCAAATACAGCTCGGCAGCTATGACGTTGGAAATAGCTAAGCCGAATATCGCTACCCAATACTGAGTCCCTCGGTAGAACATTTCCGATGGATAGCCCAAGTATGTGGTCGCGCTCTGGAACGAAGCCATCAACGACATTGCGACCGGGAATGCCCCGAGCTTACGGCCGGCCATGAGAAATTGCCCATTACTCATGTTCTTTCGATCCGTCCACGCGAAATAGACTCCGATCAGAGAAGACGAAGCCAGGACAGTCACGACCATGACGTAATCGAGCGGGGAGAATAGGCGTTCAGTGAAGCTCCCCATAGCCTCGGTGAGGGGTTGTTCGATGAAATTCTCCGACGGAAAATTTCGATTTTCCTGCAAACGTATCGTACATTTCTATATTCACCATAGGAACCTCTAGAACCCTGGAGTCTCAACGGTATTAGGACCTCAACAAGGTGATCCACATGTGAAGTGCGTGGATCTGGTCTTACCTGGATGACCAAAGCGAAGCGATTGTCTTCTTCCCAATGATTGCGGAGATAGACCCCGATGGACTTGAATGGAAGGATTGGGAGAGTTGCTTCAGAGTATTGAAGTGCCCTCTACGGTTCGATACACCTCACGATCGCACAGCTAGACACGGCTCCGTTATCACCAGAGCATCGTCCTGGTTTGGGGAAAATCATGAGCGGTCACTTGAAAACGACGATTAAAGATGCCGCCACAGCGGCTGGCAACAAACATTTCAATAGAGTCCCCGACGAGGATGCTTGGAATCCGAGACGTATGCCGTAAACAACGATTGCAAGCGATTGAGAAGAGCCCAAACAGATGTGCGCAACGTCGACGCAACATGTCCAACAGACCGCGGGAACAAAAATCGGATACGACCGGGGCGCAGCTGAGATCTTCCCCCATCTTTAGCCGTCCACCGCAGCGTCCACAGTCATGTGTGGTGGCTGAGCCTTTCCTTCATGCCCCGAAAATTGAAGCAACATGGAGGAACAGCTCTTATCAGGTTTCTCCCGCATTAGACGTTCGAATCGGAGCGCGAAAATACCTCAGCTCCGTCGGACCCACAGTCTTCGAGCGGGAGGATAGAAGTGATTGCACGATTCATTGAGAATAATGGTTCCTCGATAATCTCTCTCCGCTAAGTATAGGCAGCATGTTCCTTACTCTTCTGCCTCGCATGGAATATGAAGACGATACTGCGTCCATCGAGCTACGCAGGTATTCCGATGGTATATCCGATTCGAGATCCAACCCGAGGCTGTGGGGACAATAGAGGGAAAACTTGATGGGCTTGTCGGGAAGATCACACCACCCAGGAGATTGAAGGGTCGTGATTCGGTTCCTCCTGATATGGGATTCACCAGCTCCTCTTCTCCAGTCATCATGAGACCGCAGCGCGCATCCGAGCAGGCCACCTTAGACCGGATGATTTGTTTGGGAAACGTGGTCCAGGATCTGAATTCCCGTTCGAACTAGCGAAGGATCCTATCGAGCAGCGGTCCCGTTCGGTGGGATCCATGTAGAGATCACCAGGCATCATATCAGAAGTATTCTATCATAATTTATATTCTGTGAGATGCTCTGAGCCCAGCCCGAGTGCTACCGGGGTCGAGAAGACCCCGACTGATGAGTAAAGGGAGGGGATCGATACCAGTAGCGAAGTCCGGGTTTCCTAAAATCTTGAGTCACGTGAAATGCTTCGGTCAGCCTTCACGGCCTCTCAAGCAGTCAAGTTTGTAGGATCGTCTCTGATCTATTTAAGGCGCGGCGACAGGAGCAGGAGAGGCTAAAAGCGGTAGTCCCCACCCTAAATCTTCTGCCGTGAACATCCCAATACGAGCCCTTCCTCGATAGAAACTCTCCTGCCGGAGGATTTGAGTCGAATAGGAGCCCGTCTCCGAGAAGGACCCTCCCGGGGGATCTGAAATGGAACAAATAGGGACTCCGGTGCAAAACGTGATTGACCGAGCTTTTCGAACTCTTCCCCCCATCATCGCCGACCTTGCGCAATTGCACACCCTTCCATAGAGAGTTCCTCTTTAATTTTACAGACGCAGGATCGATCCCGGTAGAGGTGAGTGATCACAGTGATCACACGTGGAGGGAGATGACGATCTCACGCGAGGTCATTTCGGATGAAGAAAATTCAACTATTTTTTTTGGTGTGGCAGCTCGCAAAGGGTGACCTTATGATTCTCAAAAGGAACTGCGAGTGCGGAAAGGGGGAGGGGGACTGAGGGGAAGGTAGGAGGAAAGGTGAAAGAGCCATAGGAAAAAATGCATTTACGCACTACCCAGAAGAGTGGAAAATTCTACTGGAGTGTGGGGCTCATGTACATAATACCCACCAAAAAAACCTATGCCTCTTTACCTGAAGAGAGAGAGCGGATAGTGTTGGATTTGAAGAGTTTCGGATCATACGTTGGAGGGAAGGCATGAGGAGGAAGGGCATCCCATGGACGGGATGTGCGGGGGAAAAAGTGGAGGCGCATTTAGCAGTACGATTGGAGGAAAGTTGGACAGTGTAGGGATGCCGCTTAATACCCTCCCTGGTTACACGGGCGGGGACCAAAATAGGGGGAACGAGAGACGAGATTTCATCTGAGCATTCTCCATGGAAGTATCGATAAAATAGGCAGAGGTCGGTAACTTATAGATCCCTTGATAGTGTTGCAGTCTCATCGCGTTCCGGAATCTCGTCACACGACGACGATCGATCCCTTCAATCGAGGTCACTCAGTCACACGAGATAAAACCTACAGTATGCAAGTTGCCCGGAACCAAATCAGATTGAGCGTCTGGCAAGATTGTCCCCCGAGAGCACGCCCAAGAACACGCGAAGTAATGATAATGAAAGACGCATCGACACCGGGATACACGGACTATCCCTGAGAGAATAAATGCCTCATTCGAACCAGTTCGCGCCAGAGCAGTTTCATCATCACCACTTCTTTTCTCAGACATTCGACAGAAGTATTTTCGAAAAATTCGACCTTTATTTCACAAATCTCGCTATTTCCTCATGTATGTCATTATGAGGTATCCTGCAGCACCGACAACGAGAAGAACCGCAAGGACAATCAGGACGATTGCCCATGCGGCCAAGCCTTGATTCACCACTTCAACGGTGAGCTTCAAGGCAGGTTTCGCCTTCATTTCCTGGAATGACGTACAGCAGGAATGGAGTTCAAATATGAATGCCAACATGGATCTAGACAGAGACTCATGCATATTGCATGTTAATCACGTGAACCATTATACCAAACTCACGTCGTATATCGCTTGTTTAATGTCGTCGGCTTTGTCCGCCAATGCGCTTCCATCAAGGACTGTAAGACGGGGTAAGAATCTCAATCCTGCATACAATCTAGGAAGTCCGTGAGAGGAACTAAACCGCCTGCTTCACTCACTCTGTGCACCCTTGCTGACGAAGAACTCAATTGGCGCAGAGAAGTCGAACTTCTCCAACGTTTCAATCTTGTCGAACACGAACGTTGTCGTCAGGAGACCTTCGAGGATTATGAGAGTTCAGAATGCGTCGTCCGTTATCTTCCATCTTCTTCATCATACGTCTCTTGAACACCTCAACTGAATGCGGGCTAATGGAGGAGCTGACCTTTATCGCTAGCGCCTTCCGCGTCAGCCTTCTTCTTCCCGCTGGAGTCTCCCGCATCGGCCTCTTTCTTCGCGGTGTCGTCGTCGGTCTTATCTCCTGCATCTTTCGTCTTGTCCGCGTCTTTCGCGGCAGCTGCCCTTTTCAGCAACCTCCTCAGAGAGGCTCTGAATTTCTCTGAAAGGGAATTCCCCAGGAATTTCGTATTCGAGAAGAGGCTGAAGGGTCAATGACCAGGGCAACAGACCACCAATCATAAGTAACTATCTATCCTTTAAATTTTCTCCATAATTATCCTGCAGCTGGGCGATTGATCCGCGTGCCCATCTTGGCATTGAATGCGTGGTTCAATTCGACTCAATCCATTCTCCCGTCTCCCAGGAGCATTCATGTCTTACACTTAAAACCCGGAATGAGCTCTCAACAGCTATTCATTTTCTCAGTTTTCAGATAGGCACATTGTCTCAAAAATGTCGAGAATATCGCTAGTCGGGAGATTCATGCGAACGCACGACTCGTGGGCAGGGCTATGAAATTTTTGCGACCGATTCTCTCTGGGGAATCGCCCCGCGATGCCGCGAAATTTCATCTCTGCTCCTGGATATCCTCGAGATCTGTTTTTGGAATTATCAGATAAATAATTTCACCGATTTGACGAAGCTGCGGACTATCAGACTTGTCAGTCGAAGCACCGCAGCTCGCTAACGCTTCTTTCGACTCGACTCTGACCGATATTCATGCCATCGTCGAGACCAAGGGTTGGAAAACGCGAAGGTATGCAGTGCTCGCGTCACAGGTATCATGCCTGATCGCGCCCGCGGAACCCGATGCTGTAATCACTAGAGCCAGCAGGCGAAAAGACACTGAAATACCTCAGAATAGGCACCAAAACTAGGCAGAACAGGCGTGATAGGCAGCGCAAACGCCGCATCAGACCCTTCGTCAGTGCCGTTTGATGAGAACTTTAGTGGCATCATTAGGTAGCATTTTACACCATCGAAAAAAGTTTGACGTCTGGCGGGCCATCGGATTCTATCGGGAGCAGGATGTGTTCCTGGAGCATGGGTTCGCCGACTCTATTCATCGCCAAGTCCTTTCGTAGAGCCTGAATTTCCCCGAAATTCCCATAATTTAGCGTCTTGGTGGCTCGAAAAGGCACCTTAGGGGCGGAAAAACTTAACAGGTGTTTTTGATGGAAAAGCTTCGAGAAAGGCGGCAACAGGTATTGATGGCAAAATTCCTGAACTTCCGAGCTCTACTCATCACTCAACGGAAAGCCAGGCTTCCGCTTAGAATTGCCGAGATGTCCAGAGCGTCTCCATGCAGTCTTCGGTCCTCACCCGAAGTCGGAGCGCTCAAATCAGTTTCAACACACGGCGCTGAGCGTCAAACGTATTCCAATGGGCCAGGAGAGCTCGGTAATCAGAACGAGACCGCAGCGTCGGCGTTGCGATAGGGACCCTCTCGACAGCTCCCTCATTCTGATATTTCCGCGTGGGCTCGGAGCTCGGACACGTCGAGGAGCCGGTTCCCCGACTACCATTCCGTTTCCCGGAGGTTTTTCCGAAGGCCAGAGAGCCTTCTCCCGATACTCATGCTCATCATTCGTCATCAAATCGGGCACTGTGTGTGTGAGAATCAAAGGTCTTTCTTACCTACATTCCCGGACTTCGGCTGCCCTCCCTCTCCAGGGACGTCCAAAGGCTGTTGCCCTCCCTCGGAGACTCCTCCTTTTCTTTTGGCTTCCGCCTGCTTCTTGGAGTCCTTAGGATCTTCCTTCTGATCAGGAATGTCTGACATCTCTCTGTCCGTTTCGTTATCCGGCTGGTTGACATCGACCTCCCTGTTCTTAGGGCCCTCAGGATTGATTTCTTCTCCGTCGGTGGCGGGCTGGCCTTTATCATCCTCAGCATCGGGCTGCTCAACAGGTTTCCCTGCATCCTTGTCTTTTCCACCGGTTTCCGGCTTGTCCGAGTCCTCTGCAGCATGCGGCTCCTCCTCAGCTTTCTCGGAATCTTTGTCCTTATCCTGCCCAGAATCCGGCTTCTCTTTTTCATCCTCAGAACTTTTCTTCTTTTCCCGAGTGTCCGACTGATCCTCTTCAGTTTCTGGAAAACAGTCAAACCGAAAAGTGTCTCATGACATCGATGCCGGTCTTTCATCGTGCGCCCCGGAATGTTTCATCTGGAGCGGAATCGCAGACCGAAGGTCGAGTATTAGATTTCCAGGGTCTGCTTGCCGAAAGTCACCAGTACTGCATTCGGAATCCGGATGTCCTTTCTCGATGGAAGGCATATTCTCCTGCACGATCAGTCGTACATCGCAAATATTTTTAGGAAAAAGACGGAGGATCGATATTTGCTCTCAGAGCAAGGAGCCTGGAAGTATAAAAGGCCCACCCCGTGGGGCAAAAATCCCAAAGATAGTTGAGCCTTGGGAAAGAATCCGGGGCCTGTGTAGGGGAGGCAGCCATTTGAGGGAACCCTCCAAAATTACGGCCAGATTATCCCGTAAGTCCACGATGTCCGGTTGCCCTCATCGGGAGATCATCCCCTGCCGATTCCCGGGGCCTCTCACGACAACGGGATGGATTCGAGCCTTCATCGAAAGCGATTTTCACCCCTCGAATCGTCAAACGCCTCTTAAAGCAACTCGCTCTCTTAAGTTTTACCTTTATCATCCAGCAGGGTCATCGCAACTTTCTCTATCCCACCGACTACGACCTCGATCACTTCATCGTAGTACTTCGTATCCTTCGCCCGGTCCTTCGGATTGAATTCATCAAGTTAAGACTCGGCCTTATTCTAATTGAGGTGTGACATTGTCCGATTCTATCAAGAAAAAAACGAAAGAAGAAGAAGAAAGCCGAACCTCATCCGGGGTTAATTTGATCACATTCACAATGTTCTTCTCTTGGTCTGCATCCAAGCCTTTGCTTCTATCCTTCCAAGCATACTTCCCATGCGCAACGATCATGTGGGACGCTGGAAGATACATTAGCTCTAAATCCCTCATTCCCTAACGGCCAAGAATAACGCGTAATTCGATTCGTCAGGATGTGTGTCCGTCTTCCATCTGACGAGAGGCAGGATGCAGCTCCCTGAGAGGAGAGCTGCCTCTGGCATGGGCAGATTGCATGAGAACTACATCAGATTCGCAGAATTACTCTCGCGGGACTCACCGAACAAGATCGCGACGAGATAGACTTGGCGTCTCATTCTCGACCTCGTCAAGAGATATGCTGCTCCTGAAGAAAACCTCTTCCTGGCGAGAGGCACGAACGCAGGGCTGAAGTCGCGCGAGACACCTTTGCTCCGGACACAGCGCGATTCAGTTAAGAATGTGTGCACTTATTCTACGAGCCATAGCGATTGAAAATTTAGAGCCGAAACTTCTTATAGCCTCGCTCACTTGCTTTTACGAGTAGGGAGGGCCCGAACTTAAGGAATGAGTCTTGGAACGCCATGCCATAGCGGTTTTATCGTTCCTATCGTTGAATGACGTGGCGAACTCTAGGATGCCGATTCCGCAAGATGGGCAGAAATGCTATATGTACACCTAGGACGGCCTCGAACTTGACAAGTCGAGTCGGTGATTCCCACGAGGTTCGCATCGCGAGCGTTCCAAGTACGGAAGATACAGACAAGTGGGCCGCTCCGCCGGCGTGAGAGATCCTCCGCTGTCCCGAAACCGATCCCTCGACGCGCGAGCGGTGCGCGACGGAGCGCTCCGCCGACGCTGCAATCCGGCTGGACAGGAACAACCAGGAGCAGAGGGTCTCCAAGCTCGAGTTTCGAACCATCAAGCTAGTCATGGACTCGGAACGCCTAATTTGACATTGACGGAGATGACGATGAATACTGGAAAGCTCCTCGTGGGGTCGGAGCCGACGCTCGTCAATCGAGGCCGATAGCCTGTCAGGTCACGTGTCGATGTTTTCACTTTCGGCTTCGAGACTTTGTACCCCGGTCGGATCGTTCACTGGCGCGGCTCCAAATGCAAAACTCAAATGGGAATCGAGGCGTCAGGAGACCATGTGTGATTCGAGTTCGTAGCCAGATTTCGATTACAAGCGAAGCTAGACGATAAATTTCTCTCCAGCTCAGGTAGAGGCGCCTTATCTCGAATTTGCTTTCCCAGTGAGAAAACCACAGCTTTAAGGTCGGATATGGCCGTGGTGTTCCACTTAACAGCTTCGGGTGTGTTCGATGGAATCGAGCCTGTCAGAATGTTGTGAAACAGTGATATCATTCATTGTTCAGATCGGGCGGCGAGACATTGTATTTGAATCTGATCGGGACCTCAAGCTCAGTGGACACGTTATAATGCTGAAAGCTCCCTGATTGAGAAAATAAATCTACTCTTCTCGGGACGCATCCGATGCTTAACGATTGAGATCTGAGTTAGATCACATGACAATGGATTCGCTTTCGAATGTTTCAACTTCAAATCTGGCCTTCGTTGCACGGCGAATTGCGGATGGCACGATGTTGGGTGATATCAGCCCACAGCTTCCCTCTGCGACGATTCCCAAGTCAAGAGTTGAGTTCGGGAGAGGGCATCTCCACGCCGCGTCGCCGAGAGGAATTTACAGACCAGCGTCACCTATGAAGCTGAGCCATTCTCAGTCTCTAAATACTACATTTCGCGCTTCCTGTTCCCACCCGTCAAGCTGCTGAGATCGAACTGCAATACTCGCGCTCCATCCCGAGCTCGAATTGAAAATATCAGGAACCTCTTTTCTCAAGTCTGACTTGATTTTATTCCCGACCGACTGATGACCGTTATGTTGGATCAAGACGGGCTGGTACGCTGCCCAAAACTGTGATCCATGATGCCCCTCGATGAATTGCATGCGATCCGCGTCCTGCGATTAGGTTCGCGGAGACTCCGTCATTTTCACCTCTTCGTATATCCTCACGTAGATGATAACATAAAAGCCTCCGATATCAATCCTTTCCGATAAATGGATCTCACCGCAGGATTTTAAGGATCGTCCTCGCGCTGGCGCCGTCTCCTCGCAATCGTTATCGTCAGAGCTGTGACACAGGCAACTAGAACAGCGATTCCGATCGCGATGGTCACGTACGCCCAAAGAGGCAGTCTTTCGGAGGATTCGCCTTCATCGAGTACCGCGAGATCTATCCTCAAGTCCGAAGCCTTGACTGCCTGGAATTGGAGGTTTTGCAAGCTCTCGCCTATCTCACGCCAGTCGAGAAGACCAACGAGGGCACCCGGCGATGAATAACCCGCGTTTTTCTCAATGTGTCCGAGTCGAACTCGGGATTGAATTCTTCCGACTGAAGATCGCAACGAATATCACACCCACCTGGAGAATTTCAGCCCTCAGACTATCAGAGCGCTTCCTGAACTCTCCGACTGGAATCACTGGAAGGAACTCTTCGGTCTCACTCGAATTCCGATCTCAGATGGCCCGCATGCATCATTCCCTAATTTCCTCCCTGAGGGGGGGTGGGGTCGATAATATCTGCTACTAACCTTCATCTTTGTTATTTCGAACGAAAAACTCGACGGGCTTCCTCAGATCGAGCACTCCCGGCTCATCTTTCACAAAGATGATCGTGATGTCCGGAGCTACTACTTTCCCCTTCTGGCTATGAGGGTTGCGGGCTCCGGTATTTCCCCGGCTGACGGGCCCCTCGGCTCCATAAAAAGTCGCACTGTCTCCTGTTTCTTCGGAACTCACGGATTCCCGCTTCATTGCCGGGTCATCCAGGCTCTTGCCGTCCTTCCTCCCCCTTCCGCCGAACATAACATCCGCGTTCTCGGATCTCTGATCCTTACTTCCGGCGTCCGGGTCATCCGATTCCTCAGCATGCTCATTCCCTCCATTTTCCTCCGGTTTCTCGCCATCTCGATTATTTTCCCTCTTCAGCTTCGTATCGTCGAGTTTCGCGGCTTCCCCATCCTTTCTCTTTTTATCCGCTCCGTCCGCGTTCCCGCTCGCCTCGTCCTTCCCTTCTTCGTGCGGCTCATCCTGGTTCTCGGCTTTCTCATCCCTATCAGCGTTTTTCTGGTCTTCCGGTTTGTTGGCTCCTCGATCCTCTCCATTCATGTTCGGATCATTAGGGTTCTCGCTTTCATCATCCCTCCCGCCTGAGTTCCCGGCTTCCTCTTTCTCCCCTCTTTCGTTTCGGTCATCCGGCTCCTCTTCTTTTTCTCCCTCTGCTTCTTTTCTTGGATCATCGGCTCCCCCCTCATCTCTTCCCCCTTGTTCGGGGTCATCCGCATCCTTGGCATCTTCCTCTGCCTTTTTGTCCGGATCATCGCCTCCCTTGTTCTCCTCATCCCTTCCTGCTTCGTTCGAGTCATCCGGGTTCTTGGATTCTCGATCCTCTCCTTTCTTGTTTGGATCATCGGGATCTTCTTTCTGCCCATCCTTCCCAGTCTTGTCGGGGTCATCCTGGCTCTCGGTTCCGTCATTCCCTTCTTTTTTGATCTCCTCCTCAATCTCCTTCTTATCGTCCTTCTTTCTTGTGTCTTCTGTGTGGATCAAGAATCCCATATAAGAACCTTGGATGGTACTCAAGGGTGGAGGAGGAACATTTCGACTTCATATTACTTTTGCACCCGACCTTCTTTCATCTCTCGGATTATCGTGGTAGAAACTTTGTGGATGGCGTTCATCAGAGCCGTGGAGATCTCTCCTGTCACAGTCGCATTGTCCAAAAATTGCTGCTTTCGGAAAAATCGAGCTATAAATCTTTGTTCGCTATACGAGAGATTATCTTGATGGAGAAAATTACGATCCGAACCTGATCGACTTTCAAGCGGATGAAGTTTACGATGTTCTCTCTCTCCACGGCCTCTAGTTCACTCCGCCGCTTGAAATCAGGTGACCCAAGAACGGCAAATGAGCCGGAGGCTACTGGAAAAGATATTTGCGCATGAGATAGTTCAACTTGGATGTCTGAGACATCAAAATACGATCGCGGCAAGTGTCGCCGACCCCTGCCGGGGGCGGGAATGGGAAGTTATGAGTAGGTTAGGTTACCCTTCGAGATTGAGGGCACTCGCCCCGAAAACCCCGGGGTACGGTGCAGAGCGGCCGATGGGCTTCCGCCCGAACAAGCTATCACTTCCAACGCGCAACTCTCCACCGAAGATAGGCCAGAATTTCCTGCTGGCTAATTCCGACAGCCTTGCAACCTTATTTCAGAGGTGAGAGAGATGAGACACTCACCCACGATGAGCACTCCGAAGTACATCTGGAACTTCATTATCAAGCCTCTTGGTGCTTGCGGGTGTCACGCTCGATGGTTCCCGAACCAGTTTTGATCTCCCTCCAGTAGAATATTTCGGTTTTCCGCTCTCAAAATTCTTGACCAACAATAGGCAAGCAGAATGATAGTCCCTGTTGATTGATTTAGGACTAACCGGGCACTGTGATCTTGGAGAAAGCCGCAGAACCTTTTCGAGGATGTGTTCGTATGACGAAATTTCTCGAGTGCCAGGCAGTTCCTCAAAATTCCTACGGCGCTACTAGGGGTTTGCTGAGCTTGCCCTTGTGAGAACAAAAGGATTCAGACCAGATGCGCTCCGACAGATACGACTGAACGCGTTCGGTGCGATAAGTTTCCCTGCTAGCTTCTAGTTCCTAAGTCGGGAACGGAATAAATGATCTCAAATAAGAGGATAAAATCTCGAACTATGAATCACCGCTCCAAGCTTGGCAGAATCCAGGGTCTTTCATTTTGAGCTCATGGCGAGTACTACACATGAGTCAGATTTCCGACGTTGCAGGGATTCATAATCCCTGTCTTGGGCATTGAGCTGCAGCTCATAATGTCCCCGTTGGCAAGCTCTCCGAATCTGTTTCCCCGTCCGCGGGTACTGTCTGTAGCGGACGGGGGGTCTCTTCTTCGAAGATTAGTTACAGGCACGACAAGCTCAGAATGCCTGCGATAATTCCGGATTATTCTACGGGACGACAGAAATCCGTCTGAGGCAACACCGAGATCTCAGAACTAGAGCTACCTACCGGGACGGAGTTGCACGCTTGAGTGATCCTCGGGAAGTCGGTCCAGAAGAAAATTCTGACCGCGCTGCTGTCAGAGGGAAATTCTGCTGAGAGACGACTCCCTCTTGAGATGTCCCCGAACCGATTGATCATCAGGGAGGTCACCTCAGAAGAACCATGCCCTCCGGATGTGCGAGTTCTTTGCAGAGGTCGAGAACGGGATCGTATGAATTGCGATGGTGTCAGGTGTCAGTAGCAGTTGTCATAGCGGATGACCCGCTCCTGGATGTGCTTCTGCTTGGACCGCTCCGTTCGACCGATGAGCTCATCCCACTCTCAAGAGAACCCGATTCTAAATCGCAGTGTTTCCATTTTGGAAATCGCCCCCGTCAACCTCATCGTCAGATGTCGATCTCGTCCCTGTCGCCCCTGAGTCATTGACGAATTATCCCGGAGAGACCAGTAGAGCGATCGCTTTGAATCAAGCTACTCAAGCTTCGTTCGGCTCGCCTACCATACTTGTGATGGCTGCTCGGAGTTCCACGGAGAGGGCGGAAAGGCGGTCATTAAGAGTGTTCTACCTCCGATCATTCAGCTTCAGGAGTAATAATTTCGAAGGGTCGACCAAGAGAACATAGAGCTCGAATTCCGAGAACCGGGAGCCGTCGGCTTCTTACGAAACTGCCCTCTTCGCTGAGGGCCTAGAGACGAGAATCGGAGGAGAAACCTGCAACAACATGCACTAATCCGATTGGATGACGGTGGTGTGCTTCATAAAGATCGTATCAAGTCCTTTGCTGGCGCTTGTTGTTCGCATTGCATTCTCTCATTGATAGAATCCGGGATAATTGCAAGGGAAAGGCGATCGACGAAAGCCTTCTAGCAAAACCACGGGATCTATGTGAGGCTCCTGAGATCACCGAGATGAATTTCATAGCGCTTTCGTTATAGATAAAATTGCCGTAAGACGGCATCGCTGCCCTCCAGTCTAGAACGGTATCGAGGAGTCTTTTTGGGATTTCTACTTTAACAATCGGTATGAAGCTTCTCGATTCAAGCCTTGGTGACGGTTTTTCGGCACGTGACCTGCTGGACAGTTCGAGATGAAGAAGTAGTCGGTCTTAGCTCAAATAATAACGATGAAAATGATCACTCCCCTCCCTGACCTTGAGGGCTTTGACCGTTCCGGTCGCGCCTGGAAGAGAATCCTGTTTGACAGCAAGCTCGTTGTTCCAAACACAACAACTCAGCGCAGGCCCAGAAGATCAAAGTAGTTCTGGCGAGTTGTTGATGAGACTGCTTTCTATAATACGCTGCGATTTCTGGCACCGCGTGTCATGAGAGAGCTGCTTGTTTCAGCCGGAGAAAAGATCGCACCACTGGACAGCTCAAGGTCCGTCTTGTCATGCATCAAAAAGATGCGTTTCGAGCTCCGTGGACGAAGTCGACTTCGCGGCGAACTTCAGCCGGATCGAGAGAACAGCTGCTCAAATGATGGCGAGTATTTTCTGCGACCATCTGAGGAGGACTCCTCCGCCTCCCAGAAAATTCACAGAAACAACATCCGAATCCTCCACATGGAGACGAGTCCAATCGTCTCGAACGGTAAATCATGCACGTGCTATCCAATGGCGGTCTAATCAGGCGATGAACTCTCATATGAGGCTTCCACGGGATACTCTTGATGTCTGAGTGTCTCCATGGTATGTCGAGCTCTCCATTTAAAGAATGGGGCCTTACTTTGTCAGATCCTCTTCCTCATCGGAGCTCACCCTAGTGCGTTCCAAGAGTCCTCGGGTAAAAAGTTCTGCCTACGCTCGCGCAGAGGCCGACTCAGGATTTCATCTGACTGGATGGCTACGATGGATTCTGAGCTCGCGTCCTCAGAACCCGGGAAGTTATTCATTCATACGGGTCCTGTTAGAACGCCTGAGTAGGTACGCAGCATGGTCCACCGAAATCGGATATCCGCGAAAACATCTTTCCTCCATTCCTCGGTTCGCTCAATGAACAGAATCGTATGATATGCGATAACCAGGATAATCCTCAATCGAGCAAGCCAAGTTCGATAGTGTCGGTCCTGATCTCGAAGCCCCCCCCCGTCTCTTCGTCGAGGCTCCTGCGAAACGAAGCCCTTGATTTGCTTCTGCGGGTGCATCCGCTTTTTCTCGACGCTACATGTTCTGTTGTCAGAATTCCGGCACTCTCGCTCGAAGTCCGACCGTAGACGAGGTGTTACATGTTGGATTTGTTCCACCTGATTATCGGAAATTCGAGGAATCCCTCACAAGTAAACATTCTTTTTTAAAAATGACAATCGTCTGGTTTGACATGCTTTTCTGAAAGTTTCCGATTCCGGAGCAACCCCGAGTCGTTTTTCCCTGCTGTCCTGCATTTCATACCCCTTTCCAGCAGGCTCCGAAACCCGGAAAAAAACACCAACTACATTGAAATCCGGGATATTTTTCTCGGATTTTGATGGAAATGTTTTTTCCCCAGGTTCCGAAGCCCGGAAAGACCCATTCCCATTGATATCCGAGCAAAATATCCCGGATTTCGATGTAAATGGTGTTTTTTCCGGGTTTCGGAGCCTGCAGGGAAGGGGTATGGAATGCAGGACAGCAGGGAAAAACGACTCGGGGTTGCTCCGGGGCTCGGAAACTTTCAGAAAAGCATGTCAAACCTGGTGATTGTCATTTCCAAAAAGAATGTTTACTTGTCAGGCTTCTGTATCCCGAGCGCGCGACCATTTTACCCTCGACCCATGATTTTCTCCTCGATTTCGGACTTTTCCATCCGACGGATTGATGTCCTGAGACCGAAATTATAATTCATCCTTCGCGAATCGCTGCGCTTCGACGAAATTCCCGAGCGCTCGGGACTCTCCGGACTCGCCTTCGTTCTTACTTTCACTTTCAAGGAAACGACCATAAGCGCCGCTCCACAGCGATGAAGCAACGCCGATGAACACATTCCATCGGCAGCACAGCATCGATGCAGCTAGAGTTGAACTGGTATTAAGGAATGTGTCTCCTGACGAGCCCCAGATCATATGAGAAACCCCCTTGAGCCTCCCGATAAAAATATTTGCCACAATCCATGGAGTGAAAGATCGAGTCGAGACTCCGGACACCCCGCGCCTCCCGACTTGTCGAACGGGAAACCAGCCAGGAATGATTTGGACGAAATCAGACGGTGGAGGGATTAGACGCTCACAAGATGAAAAAACAAGGAATCATTCATCAGGATTAAAAGTCCTTCTTTCACGCAAGAACAAGAACATCGAGCTGAGGCTTCGCGGCTTGAGAGGCATTTTGTTCCCCTCTCGAGAGGAGATTGCTCCCGGGAATTACATTCTGTAGCAGTCAACTCGACAGAAAAAGCGCTGAGTCGATTGCTCGGGAACTGGAGCAATCTAGCTCCGGGATAGCGAGTACCGCGGTGCGTCTCTGAAGCTCGAATCGAGGCCCTCGGACCAGATTCACCGACCTCGACGGCTCGTTTTTGTGTATCCATGAAAAGCTACGAACATTAACGAAGCGATTCAGCGCACAGAATATTTCGGAAAAGACGCCGTGAGTAGCGTGGGACTGCTATCGACCGTACCGCAAAACGCTGGCGGAGGCCTCGGAGAGTTCAGCCCTTGAGAGAGCGACTTCGAAGCGATGTCTCGGTTTTCCGAGAATGCAACTTCCAAGAGATCGTCTCTCGGCCATCACCGAATGGACAAGCGATCATATCCACCAAAGCCGTGACTATCGTTTCAGTGGAGCAAATCGTTCATGACTTTCTCTCGTAATTTCTGCGTAATCGCACCGCGCAAAAAACCGGCGGCCGGTTCCGAATCCGGACTTGTTTTTCATCTTGGCCCGCTTGTTTGTTTCGGATGTGGACGGCGGCTCGAGACTCGCCCATCAAATGCTCTTCTCCCGTCATGTCGCGAGCATCTTCCAGCTCCGGCTGCCTGGATGACCGCGTAGAGTTGCCAAAATCATTCGAGAGAAACAACGTCCGAAGTAATTACCATCACCCAGCGTCCGAGTACTTCTCTCCTCCCTTTCCATCGGCGTCGGAGCGCCTGTATAAAACGGCTCGAGTCTCCGGGTAGGGCATCGAAACCTCGAAACCAACGCTCCTTCATCATGTTCAAGACCTTCGTGAGTATCTCTCAATCGCTCACGAGGCTACTGCTCTCAATCCAGCAAGAGTTGAAATTTTCTGACCCAGGTCTCACCGCTCGCTTGCCTTCATATTCACAGGTCTTCGTTGCCCTCGTGGCCCTCATCGCCGTCGCCAATGCTCAGGTCCTCTACGGAGCGTGGGGCGGAGCTCCCACCTGGGGTGGAGTTGCTTCCGTTCCCGTAGCCACCGCTGGATGGAACGGTGTTGGTGGACTCTACGGTGCCAACTACGCCTGGTCGGGAGTCCCCTACGGTTCGGTTGTCTACAAGAAGTGAACCCCTCCACCGTTGGGCAAACGATAGCGCCCGTTATTGATCCTTGCTACTGACCATCGTCCGGGAATCACGCATTAAAAACTGATGTGAATAAAACTGTGCATTAACTCACTCGTGGGCTCGTTTTTAGCCGACATCGTTCACAGACCCTGTGCGGAGGATTCTGATCATCCATACAGTTTGAGTCCTCTCTCGCGATTCCGATTATCCACACATTCCGAGTTCTCCCTCGCGAACAAAGGAGGCGGCGGGGAGCTCTCCTCATCGGGGCGTCAAGACCTAGTATTCCACAAAGATGGTTGACTTCGGGGAAGAGCCGAGTATGACCGCAATCCTCAGGTAGGATCATTCGGGTCGCCTCCCCCTACTGGGCGATATTGATTCACTGTCAGAACAGTAGAGGTTCTGCCCTCGGATAGGAAGTCACGATTGACTTTTCATCCTCCAAATTTTCTTTTCGGTGGGAACGTCAACGCTACCGGATGCTAGGATGACAGGCGGAGTGTAGAAAAATCTTGATTGCCATGAGGAGTCGGCCCAGCGAAGAGGCAACGCGCAACAAGTCTCCCCGATGTCGAGTCCGGCATCCAAGTGAGAGAGCATTATCTCTAAAAATGACCAGTTGGTCGTCAGCCGATAGTGCGATGGTTCAATACAGGTCTTCAGTCGGCGATTGATGCAACGGTCTCCTTATCGGAAAACAACTTTCTTTTATTATATTCTCCGGTCTCCAGAAAACCAACATTTGCGAAATTGATTGATTAATATTCTCCTAAATCTTTGAGTCGATTTTTTCTCGATGAATTCCTCGGAAAGAGTTATGTACAGCTAAGAGTGACACTCCGTCGGTATCTAGATCACCTTCCATGCGCCGTTGTGGTTTCCCTCTGGAGTCGGACCTTACTCCGGCTGAATCTGACACTCCCGCGCTCACGTGATTCAAAAGCAAGAATTTGAAAATAACCTACATCGTCGGTACAAAACTTCACAGTCAACCAGAAATAGTCGCTCGAACCAGCTTCCGCGGCTGATTTCCCTTATGCGTCAAGGCATCATTTGTACTACTGCTGTGATCGACACACAATGACAGTTGGAGATCGACTGTCGTCATCGACACTGATCTTGATCACGCTGCTCTCTGATCGTTCACTCCGGCAGGAACCTTAACTTCCATTCCAGATTCTTTTTCGGTGAGGAACACCTGGGAAATTTTGAAATGCCTCAATGCTCGTACATGATTATCAGCGAATAGAGGGAAGACGAGCGTGACATCGGGTTTTCCGTCGTGGCACATGAAGGAATGTTCCACGAGCGAATGAACGAGCATTCCGCGCTAGCTCAAAGGATCGAGGTCTCACCTGGCACCCCAATCTCGAAGTATCTGTCAGCCCGTAAGCAAGATCCAGCATGTCGAGCTCTTCGTCTGTGGGTTTCTCGTTGAGCTTCTCATAGTCTTCAGGCTTGAATATTAGGTGACATGTCGAGCACGCCAAGGTTCCCTCACAAGCTCCGAAACCGTCGATATCTATGTCATTATTGACTATCACGTCGAAAAGGCTGTCTCCGACCTGCCGCAAAAGAGACGCTGTATGAGTACCATCGAAACTCAGTGGACTTCAATCCTTCCCCTACCTTGAGCAGAATTTATTATCCGCCGAGCAAATGCTCACGGAATGAACCCACAATTCCATTATCTTATCCATTGGATCAGGTTCTGCACGAGGCACTTGCCGCTCACAGATATGAGCGGACCGGACGAAGTCTCGATGACACTGACGCCCGGTCTTTGCGGTGTTATCTAGTTAGACCTCAGCCTCGATTCCGGGAAGAGCTGACAAAGAAACTAACCTTGCCCTTCGTTTTAATTTTCTCTCCGGACTCTCGAACGAAAGTTACTTCGAACTCTTTCTTATTGAGTAGCGGGAAAGTCATCCGATGGAAGTTCCGCGTCTGCAGAGGAACACCATTTCAGGACATCAGGCACAACAGAATCAGCTCCGGAGACATTCATCAAACATTTCCGAAGCTCACATGGCCAAGAACCATTCTAGCTACCTGCAGTGCAGCTATCTGTAGAAATTTACGCGCAGCAAGCATTCTGAATCCAGATACGATCCGTTTCGGATTCAACGGTCACTGGGCGATAGGTGGAACACCGAAACGGAGATTATCCTGCTCAGAGAAGGTAACAAATTAGGAAAAAAGATCTGAGATTCCGGCTGAGAACAGCTTTGGAACACTGGCGCACACTCGCGTGTTTAAGTTGTCCTCCAAACAGTGGTGGCGACGGGTGGTAGATGGAGACCGTGGGTCTCCTGGTCGCCCGATACGAAAGCGCTCATATCACCAATCGGGCCACGGAATTCGGTGAAACGATGAGAAAGCTCCACGCTCTTGATGGCATGGCTGTCCTGAGGCTGCCGAGCCGATGTCGCTCTATTCGGAAATTCTGACCTTTTCCAAGTCGAAGTCTCGCGCTCGATTGGGTACAAGACTACATTTTGAGAAGGGATTAGGATGGCCCAATCAGGCGGGTCATTGGTCCGATAAAGCGGGCCGAACTTATTGATGGGAGAGATCTTGGTGAGCTGAGAAAAATACCGCGGCTCCCGCGATCGGAATCACTGTCAGGCAGAGCAGCGCTGAGTCCAATCTGACGAGGCTATCCGGTCAGCTATCGCCCGACATGACTCAACAGGTCATTTCCGAGACGGAGAATCATTTTTCATTCAAAGCCCTTCTCCGGGGGCCAACGCGTGAGCGATGTCGTTTTCCGTTCCAGAAGAAGGGTTTGGGACTGATTCTGGCTGATTCTGGCTGTGGGAATTCCTAATGTCATGCATATCAATATTTACACCGCGGCAACATCGCCCTGTCAAAATCCGTGAGTTCAGGATGGGAGTCTGCTTTTGAGCCTTCATTTGGGGTGATTTGGCTCATGCACAGGCGACCGCAGCGCTCCAGATCAACACCAATCGCCCCTCGAGCCCCTTCCCGGGCGTGTTCCTGTGAGCTCAAGCAGGGTCTTAAGGACAAGGTCCGATAGATGGAATGAAGCGCATCATTCTCATACTGCTCAAGTATTCGCATTTATTCCATGGAATATTCCCAACTGGGGAAGCTCTGTTCATCAGCTTATTTATATCAAAAACGATTCATGGAATCTCAACGCTTTCTACAATCGGAAAACAGCAAATAACTACCGCGCGTCTGATTCCTCTCAGGGAGCTCAAGTCGCCGAACTGTGCGAAACGGTTTAATATAAGAATGCCTCAGTGAACCCCTTCAGTTTCATATCACATCTCCTGTCAATAATAATTCAAAGGCTTTTCTAGGAGCTGGACTTACATGTGTACATCACTGATTATATTACATATAAGGTAGACAACAACGCTGAGGTTTGGTAGGTTTGTTCATAGTTAGCTAGGTTGGTTGCTTGATCGATTCAGGGACCCAGTGCAGGGTACATTCACAGGTCATGATATCATTGGTTCGTGTGGGTGGAACGTCAGGAATCACCGTGATCATGGGAACAGCATCTTCTTTTCTCGATCACGCCCGAGGATGTAGAGTGTAAGCTCGGAGGAATGTTCCCTGCCGGCCTAGATGATGTCTTTCGCCGATGCCACGACGACAGCGACTGATTTCTGATGCTCGCCTCGAGTCCTGATCCTAGGGAGCAGATTGAGAGTTGCGATTCATCACTCGCCCTATCTACGCATCAGAGAAAGCCCATGACTCATGGAGAAAATGATCAGAGGCTCACCATGAAGGGTCTCGGACTTTCCTGCGGATGTTGTCCAAAGTCGTCCAAAGGTCCGCGGAGCTCGATGCGTCCACGATGTACTTCTCAGGCCACTGGAAGTCTGTAAACGCAGAACGATTGTCTTATTTTGACCGAAGGGTGTCGATATATTGCGCGTTGCATGGGAACAATGGATCGTTCCTCGACGCTCCTCGGTGATGTCCGACCGGCAGCGAGGAGGCTAACGAGCAAGCAGATATTACGATATCGCATTTCGAGGTAGGCTAGGATGCAGCGAAAAATTTTGTCGCGCTCGGCTGCGGACGTCATCGATGGGGGAAGTTTCCTACGACGAAGACTCTGAGGGAAATTCGACCCATGCGCAAAGGATGAATTTAAAAATGTCTCGGAATATTCGGGTCAGGAATCGCGTCATGGGCTAGTTCAGGTAGCTCGATTCATGGATCGATCATTCTTGATTGCCAGGGTTCGGATACCATCTTAGAGAACGCTCGACCCATCGGAGGCCCAATCACTCGATCGATTCACGCATCGGAGGTCCGAAAAAACGTCTTTAGTAGATGAGGGCAAGAGATTGCCATCGTCTGACACCGGGTTTTCCAACCCGTCAATCGTATCAGCTTTGAAACGGGAGGGTAAGCGAGGGCCGAATTCTTTCGTTTGGAGCGGTCTTTCTGCAGCCCATGGATACCGAATATCGGAAGTGTGGGAGGATTTTGATTCCGAACAGTTGGTCTTTCTTCTTCGCTTTTCCCCCTTGAACGATTTCCTTCTCGATGAGCCTGATCTTAGAGTTTAACAACAGTAGGTACAACGTCTACGACACCTTCTTCTGCGGAAACGAGGCAATCCGTGAATGTCAGGTAATCCTCTGCAAACGTGATCTGTCGGCGAGATCCGCGTCTGATTTAGCCTCGACGCGACGTGCGAAGTTTTCTGATGGGCTTTGTGACAAGTCGAGTGGCGACACTTTTTGACTGTTCTCGATAGGAAGCTGACGTCTGATTGCAATGCCCGTATTTTGTTGACATCGTTCTGGTTTTGGGCAGATCTGTCAATTGAATGATAGCATATCGTGAAACGTGTCCCGGCCTTCCAGAGAGACCTCGAGGCGCAGGCTGCGGCATTCGACAGCGCCAAGCGAAAAATTCAAGAGCCCAAAGACTCTTAGGCATGTTCAAAGACTGCTCAACGAGGACTTTGATTCCGCTTTTGAGTTTCTAAATATCCTGCGAGGTCGAGTCTAAAGCCAGATGCAGCCATCGCAACAGTCTCTGAGAGGCCAGTGTCGGGACAGATGAAGGAATTTCTTATGGTTTGTCTGGTTGAGCTTATTTTCAGGGGGATACCACCCTCCGTCCGGAATTCCGTGCAAACTGCTCGTCTCAGCCGGGCATCTGGGCTCGGATAGGTCTCGTTGGCGGGACGCAGATATTGCGGGACGCTAGACTTAGATGCGACGGGGAAGAAGCGGGCGCACAACCGAAGCTCGATCGCGCATCCCGTGGAACTTTCAGCTAAAAAGGAGGTCACAAATCGGAGAGGAAACCGCGAATCGAATGATTTGAGGGAGAAATCAATGACAGCGCACCTTCGAGTTTAGGAGATGGCGTTGTTAACACAATGCTACCTCCGGGTAGCGACGCGATTCCTTCGCTGAATTCAGGACACTCCACCAGAGTCATTTCCAATGGAGGCGATTCCCGACTCGGCACTTCTATAGAGCGGAACTCTGGACAATGTCCCACTGTGGGTGAATTCAAGAATGAGACTCTTGATGAACGACCCGGGCACTCTCGATGCGGGCAGTACGGATATAGCTCGCTACGAACTCATTACCTCGAACGAGAAGCGGCTCCTTCCTAGACGCTAGAGCATTGTTCACACTCAAGTGCGTGAATGCACATTTCACAATGGAGACCGAATTGAGATATTTTCCTTCGAGGTCGATCCGGGACACCTCATCGGACTTCATGGATGAATTTCCGGCCGAAGTGTTTTTGCTCCCGCTCCCTTGAGAGTTCGCTAACGGAGGCGAACAGAGAGCATTCCGCGGACTAGAGAGCAGAGGAACGGCGTTCTGTAAAAATTGACGATCGTGAAAACTTTCGGTCCGGCTAGCTCATTCAGCATTTCGTCTCCGACAAAATGGGGTTTCCCTGACCTTGTCTGCGATAGCGTGATTTACTGACGCAGACATCTCGGTTTTTCCCGTGACAGTTATGCAATGCAATGATATATGATCGAGATTGGTACACTCTTTGTTAGCGAATTCAATAACGGTGTCGAGCCCCAACGAACCGCAATATGCCACCTGGAATGGATCACGTTCGAGATCGTTCACAGGAATTCGGGAACTATATCCCATGAGATTGAAATAAAGGTTCACGGCTGAGCGCTAGAATACTCTTCAACGGACGAACCTGAAGGTTCTTCAGGCGCTCCCATTTGCCCTTCCACCGCCTTGCGTCTTGAAGGAACGGACATCCTCTCAAGCTCAGCTCACGGAGGTTCGGACACATTTGGTTCAATCGGCCTATGTCGTCGTCATCGATCCTGGAATCAGAAATCGTAGAGGTGGTACTGAAACTCCTTCTCCTCAACGCTTGCCACGGTGGTTCGCGGAACCTACCTGCAGAATGCGTCGTACGGCATATCCCATGGGAGACTGTCGTGTCCGCAGTAGCCGATATGTAGGGAATCCATTTTCTCGAATTTCACTCCGCTCGCATTCAGCACCCTGGCCGTCAAGATCGTCGATTAGGTTTCTTTCGGATGAAGTACCTCCGAGATGTATATGTAGACTCATTCCTCCATCGCTTCGATTCGACTTTCGATATCAACTTAGGCAGAGAGCTCAGATCTCAGAGCACCTCCCTCTCACACACCTTAACAATGCAGATGTGCAGAACGTAGGATCCATCCGGAACTCTGTGAGTGAATCCTGACAGGCGAAAATCAACCGGGCGATATCTCCCATGGAGAAAATCTCACACTCGCTTAGGATTAGCTTCTTGAGGTGTCGGAATGGTTCATGGCCTTCACGTGTTTCTTCCAGAATCGCCAGCTCGAGATCATTTGGTGTGCAGTCTACATTCGCGAGTTCTAGAACTTCCAGGTATTGGCACCTGGAATTCACGGGGACTCAATGAGATCGTGGCCTCAACACAATGATTCGAGAAGATTGCAGGAGAGTGCACTCGAACGAACCTTGCTAATGAGTATAGTATCCTGGAGGTGAAAGTGCTGCTTATTGTGTCGAAACAGTTCCTCCGGAGAGCCATTTCTCTGAGTTTCGGACATTCTATACTGAAATACTCCACAGTCGAGCGTCTGCGGGAAATTATCATATGTCATAATGGGGAATGTGAGCACGTTTCAAGTTGCGTCGGTACATGTCTCGGGATTCTTCTCGCCCGACTCACCGTCCTTTCAGCGAAACATTCTCGAAAACTACGTTTTCTATATGTTCGCCCCGCAGAGGGAACGGCGGGAGCGTCTGATTGACCAACCAGAATTTGTTGCTCGCGACCTGCGAATTTTTCGGGCTTAGTTAGGTTGGGTTAGGTTGAGAACACAGCACGCTCCCTCCCGAGAGCCGATAAATATACAGAGAATAAATAGAATTCTCGAGAGCTAGGCCAGGGAATAATAATCCCATACGACGGAGAGCGATGTACAATGGTATGACTCACGTCTTTTGGGATATTGATCGGGGTCGTCAATAATTTAACTCGTCCACTGAATCGGAGATCCACGAATACCGAGGGGAAAGTTGACATCATCCACGAGGCTAATGCGATGTCATTGGTTGAAATTCTTTTGAGATGTTGCAAACTCTTGAAGGCGACCAGGAGCCCTCGGTACGATAGGTACCCGGCGCGAGATTGAGATCTACAATGGGGATCATTCTTATGTCATCGATTTCGCAGGACAATGCGAGAAGATCGACCGAGGAGGCATCTCTTCCAGCGGGATATGATCGAATAAGGTATTCAAACCAAGGCAGAATTCAGATCCGACCTGGTGACTCTTCTAAAGTTGATGTTCTCGAAGTAGAGCCCGTCGATTTGCTCAACTTTCGGGAAAAATGAGAAAATGCGTATGACATTCTTGTCGTGCACGTTTCCCTTGGCGAAATCCCATTGATTGCCACCGTTGCAGAAAGACACCGAGGTTGTATGAGATAGGTACAGATCCACCATGTACTGGAAGCGTTTGTTCACAGCTCGCAATCTGAACAGGTCTTGCACCGAGAGCGAGGAGAAAATCTGGGCGAATATGTCAATGGGGATATTATCGAAAAACCCATGGGAGCTGAGCAGTGTCCTCCTTTTGCGAGAAGCTTCATGGCATTCCGCAAACGGCTCGTGGGAGGACTTCCGTTTGCGGTGCTTCATCTTCAGCGGACAAACCCTGAAAGACGAGTTTCACTAAGAGAGGGGTTTAAGCCACGGCAAGTCTTTTGCCTCGGAGTACAGCAGTCGAACCTCGCTTCCGAATAGAATTCAGTTTATTGAGGGTAAATACAAAGAGTTCACGAGAATATTTTCTCATGGAGTCTATCGCGCATGCGCCATCTATGACTTCAGCAGGTAGCACACGGGAAGCACCAATGGAACTCGCAAGGAATCCCTCCATATCTCCCGAGAGACTTTTAGATTCATCGCGGGCTCGCATAGCAATAGTCTCGTTGAAGAAGAGGATATCGGCGAGGGTGAAATCGAGGGGAGCTTTTCGAAGTCTGGCTCTTTTTTCCGAATAGATGAATTTCAGATTTTTCAAGGCCGTTCAGAAGAGAAAGCTGATTGACACAAGTCTGAAGCAGAGAATCTAATGCGGACAACACCCCCAAAGTAAAAGACTGCCGAGTACGAGAGGGATTCGCCGTTAGTATTCCCGAGTTTGGAAGCTCGGAGCGCGGCGCTCATTAACGTCGTAGAATGTTCTCGAGGTCAGTTGCTTCTCGCTTTTCGACATGATCGCATGGAATCTGAAGCGGGATCCGATGCACCTCCGGAATATACCAAAGGGCTCCGCGACAGCCGCTACTAACCCTGCTCTGTATTTCGGGTCCTCACTTTCAATCTCTTGGTAGGAGAACGCACTTTCTGATGGGCTTATGTTCAAACAGCTGAGCGCATCAGCTGCTACTGCTCTTGTTTTTTCTACTGTCTCGGGTTGGCCCCTTCCTTCCGTTGGTTATGTCCTAATCGACGGACCTTCACGGGATGGGCAGAACAGCGGAGAGACATTCACTTTCCGCGCCAAAACTTGAAATATGGTCGTGTGGGAGACACTCCGCCGGGAGTTTTACCTAATCCTATGTTGGCATTGCTGATCCCTTGGACTCGGCTTCTGTATTTTCGCTTCCGCTGCTGGAACTACATGCGGACTCCGACGTGGTGGAGCTCGAGCTCTGAAATCGGAAATTCGGGAGACAGAGCAGAGAACATATCTAAGAGTCTGAATTCGATGTGGCACCGGCACTCCCTCCCAAGATGTGAGCAGTGACCGCGCTACAGTGATTCGAATCGCGGAGAATTCTGGGAGACTCGCTCTAGTCGCCGGTGATATCCTCTAGAAGGGTTTGTCATATCTAGACGGAACTTCCCGGAGGGAATGTCCCGGGATCTCAGGCATGGTCGCGAGCCATGTTGCCTCGAAATGCTCTCGACAGAAGACTTCTCAATAAATCCGAGTTTGTGGGAAGAGATCCGCGATCATCATCCGGGGGAGCGATCTTCATCGAATCACTGCAGGTGATGACGAAAGTTCGTTTCCCGATTCGCGAGTGCCTCCTCGCTCCCGGCGAACAGGTGAAAGGAGAGCATGCCTATCCCTGGAATATTCACGGCACTCAGATTTCTTGGACTTATCGAGAGCTTCGGAAGAGACGGAATGATGGGGCATCGCTTCTTTTATTGAGTCAGCGCCTGTTTTCCCCGAGGTCTCAAGTGGTTCAAGTCCAATAGTTAGGCTTCCCTATGGGGGGCGGAAAAATTGATAGAACAACGATTCAATCAGCGATAATATCAATAAAATGCTTCCTCTTAGAATCGATGTAGGAGACAAGTTCCCGAGAAGGACCAGGACTAAATCTTAGTTGAAAACTTCTTCAAGACAGAAAATGCTTGACGGAGCACATATATGGCAGGAACGCACTTTCAAAATCACAATACCATTACACGTGATCCTACCGCGATCTCAACAATCTGACAATCGAAGTCGACCCGATCTCGGCGGCGGATCGTTAGTCCCATGAATCGAGCACCGCCTAGAGTCCGGAGATTCCAGTCCGCTCTGATTAGTTGAGGAGCCCTCACGAAGACATCAGGATTAGCCGGAGCACGCGATCTGGCGCAAGGGGTTTTCGTTTCAAAAACTCGATCTGCCCCCGAAATGTGTTTCATTCGGAGGGCCCCCCTCAATGATTCAAGAAAATAATCAGATAGATCCAAAGACACCATTCTAGTATAAACGATCACGGAGCATGGAATTCGGGAGAGAAATGCATCGAAAATAGTGCGGCGTCGATCGGTGACGGCCACTGCGAGGTCGATTCACGTAAACTATGGCGTCCGTTCTGTGGCGCAGATTCTAGATAAAGTCCTTTTAAAGGCGTCTGATATACTCCGGGACGGATTCAGACAGTTCTCAGATCCGTATCGGGAGAACCGAGTTCCTGTTCTGGGAAAGTCTCGTGCAGGATATCCAACAATGTCTGAGCTTCCTGGAACACGTTGCTGTGGTCGTTGTGCTTCGATGTAGATCTGAACCAGCTCCGGGGCCTCTGACGTTTCTGATTTGTGTCCGAAGCAGAATGGGAGCGGAGCGAGGGATCTTTCTCGTACAGGGACGGCACGTTGTCGTGAGACGCTATGCTCTCGGTCGAATCTCTTGACGTATTCATCAAGCGCTCCGATGGACATCTGAGTGTGTCGCCTGCAGCCGTTGAGGCGATCTGCTGCGGGTCGCGGAGGATCGAGAAATCGGCCCATCCTTTTATTTCGGGTGTCATCCGCTCGCTCTCCGACGTGCTCTCGGCGGTGAAAGTATCTGAGCTCTGCCACCGATTCCAGGAATCCTCCCACGGGTCTTCACACTCCTCCGAAGCCACCAAGGAAATCATCTGATTGAGCTGTTTCGCCGTCTCCAGATCGATGCCTTTTTTCCCATATCTCCGCAGAGAACCACGCTTCTCTGAATTTTTTGCGGGTTCTGATGTTCTGAAGGGGAAAAACGGTTTCCGACGCTTTTCCAGCGTAGAACTTGTCCGCGAATCCGAGCGATCGTCAGCCGACGAATTCATCGAAGGCGATTGAGGTAGATCACACCACGGATCCTTCCATGTGTCAGTTTTCCAGGAGAAGCTGTCTGATATTGAAGTTCCTTCATAGTCCCGGAGGGGAGAAATGTGGCAGGGCGAATCATCCGGGACCGCTCCAGCAGCGTTCATCAAACTTTTAAGATCGCCCACTTTCAGGAACGAGGTTTTGGGCACGTCGACCTCTTGGATTTTCACGAAGGTTGAAATATCCGAGTATTTGAACTCATTTGGGTCGTCCCGAGGCTGCATGAGCCCCGGAGAGGTTTTGTTGTCGTTCTTCACGGCGTCTTCGGTGTCGCAAATGGTCTTGCTTCTCATGAAGGAAAACTTTTTTTTCGCCTTCTTCTTGTTGCTCGTCTCGGTTTTGACATCTGGTGCATGCTTGGCTGCGATGATATCTTTATTCGGAGATTCGGATCCCTTGGCACTTTTCCTTCTTCTCATGAAGAAATTAATCCGCCGCTTTGGGGGTTTCACCTCCGCGAGACCCAGATCATGGTGAATATCCTGGAAAGGACATCGAGAGCGCTTGAAGAACTTCTTTTTTATCGTGAGTCTTCCGACCGCCCTAATGTCGCATCTATCCACCGAAGACACGCGATTCTGAGCCCGACATCCGACGCTCATGTTTTCAAGCAATACTCACAATTATTATGCTGGAGGAGTGACCCACCTGAAAATCCCTGTCGGCTTCGTAGAAAATTTCTGGCCTCACGGTGATCTCGCTGACTCCGCGCACCCCATGCCAATCGGACTCCGGCCTGGCCTTCAGGAAAAACATCTTGTCACTCTCAACTCAGTCGACGATCAGCCAGCGGAACGCGCTCAACTCCGCTCTCAGATGGGCTGTTCAGAGCGCGAACTGTAGCACTTCACAATCATCGTCTACGCAGGAGACACCAGATGACTCCTGGCGCCCTGTGAAAACTCACTGCGAAACAGTACGTAGTAGATTGACATTGCTATATTCGTTCAATGCTCTCACAGAGTGCAAGCCCTCGGAGGGAAAGGGTAGCGAGAAACAGCTAAACTCTGTCCCGTTGCATGAGAGAGAAGCCTCAGATGGAAAGGGTCGTCATACGACGCCCTCTGACGTTGTCTCTCAACTGCGTTCGTGAATCTTGATGAAATATGGCCAATTTCAGTAAAACGTCTTGCGTGCTGCTCGACGTAAAAGTGCCCGATCTCGACAGATGAGGTTGAGACAATGTCATTCTTGATGCGATGCGCGTTCGCGAGCGGAATCTTGGGGCCACCAAGCTGCCGCGACTTCTCGGCCTGCACCTAAATCCAAACCAAATTCTCAAGAGCTTGCACGGAGCGAGCCGCGGCTCTGGAACACCAATAAAGAGAACTCGCTGTCTGGAGCATGGGGCGGCGCGATATTCAAGGTCTTCCACTAAGGACGGGGAAAGCCGAGGCCGAGCTCCTCGGCTCCTTCAGGAGCGGGCCGATGCGACGGACCTCAGTGCGCCAGAGAGCTCCCGCTTAGAGCAAGATTTACCGTAGGTCCCTACACTTGGTGAAACTGTGGGTTGTCATCACTCATCACCGATCATCAGCATGAAGTCCTGGGCGGTCCGGAAGCTTGAGCCTAACGCGGTGAATGTTCGGAGCTTAATCTAGCCGAGCTCAGCGCCCCGCCTCCGCGCAGGCAATACACTTCTCGTTTTCAGCTGCTGATCAAGCTCACGGGGCTAGAGGCTACAATATAGGGGTCTAAAAGCTCGATACGAATACTTTCGGAAAAGACCCTCCCTTCGGCATCCCCCAGCTTTATAAACTTCTTCTTACGCTCATCGCCAGATGGAATCTCGATGTGCTTCCTCGTCTAGGCGCTCTCCGTCAACGCATCAAGAACCGCTTCCCTCAGGGCTAAGCCTCAAGAGGCACGTCTTACAGTGCGAGCGAGCTTGCTCTGGTTCCTCAGAAGAGGGAGAACGTAAGGGCGAATCGGTTCTATGGGACATACTTATTCTTGAATTATTGTGACTCTAGTCTGGGGCTTCTAGAGAGCGATTCGGGAGTCTTCGCGCCTGATCCAACGCTCAACGTTCGTTCAGTCGTTCTACAAGCATCCCCCGCAGTCTTTTTTGAACAGGGTATGGTTCGTCTGCTTGTCGGGCTAGGTCTCCACTCGAGGCTTTGCGGAGTGTCCTTCGAGAGAGTTTGGTTTGAAGCCAAAGATTTCTCGTCCGCCCGGAGACACGTCGTCGACAAAGCTACCGATAAAACTCCGGAAGTAGCGAGAGTCAGAAAGTACAAGTTCCAGTCGAAATGATAGCCGACCTGCTCGCCCGTTTGGAGCTGACGTCTCTGGGGCGGAGCCCGACCTTCCTCTGGGGGAAATGAAAGATCGCGCATGCCATCCCGAACGACACGTCCGCGCAGTGGGACTGCGTCGATTTGAAATCAGAGTTGTGAGTGATTTAAAGTCGCGGATTCGGAGCATTTTTTGGAAAGTGTTTGTTGACCGTTCGATTCCACGATTTCTGTTGGATTTGGGGCGAAACCGAATCGACGCGGTTTGACATTGTTTATGTGCGCGGAGCGAGCCTTCAGCGCCGGAGTCTCGTCAGCGCCTGCAGTGGTTTTTGTTCGTTCTCGTCGGTCGAACGCTGTAATCAAACGCCGGCCAACCCACCGCTTCGTCTATAAGCCTCACCGCTGCTGAGCGTGAACGGATCGCGTCACGTGATCGACGCGCACTTTCGGGAGTGACTGAGCTCCCCGCCCGCAGATTCCTGAAGGGCCAGGATCCAGTCGTGGAGCCATTGTCAGAGAGGGGAGAGCTAGCTTCTACGGTCGGAGGGGAATCTTCCTACATCAGTACTTCTTTTACTGTTCTATGATTGCACAAGGAGGACACTCCAAGATTTGCCGGATCGTATCGCTCGTTTTGGTACCCCATCCTATCCGAGAGGTCCCGAAACAAGGTCGGAGGACAATCACGAGCGCCGAGGCTTCCCATATTCGAGGGGCTCAACCCGGGGATGGAAGACGCAGACTCAGCGCTGCCTTTGGGAGCTAGAGTATTGGCTGTGGAAGCTTGAGCATCTGCCGACGACTTCACCTCGTTGATGGATCTTTGGCCCAGGAGAGCGAACGGAACAAGTTGAGGCAGCGCCCGACAAATATTTATCGCCACCCAAGGATCATCGTCATCATCATCGTCTCCATATACCGCTTCACGGATCTCGATTCCCGACCCTTCTTTCCCTTCGTTCATCTGGAGCGGAGATGCCAATAGGATCACAAAAGTTCTCCAGAGCGTATGCGTATCTTTTGACCCACGTTCTAGCGTTCCGAAGAACGACATTTCCCTGTTCTTCCGTTCCTCATCACCAGGTTTAGGTGAGAGACAGAACACTCGAAAACATTATTGTTGTCAAACAAAACTCTTCTCCCTTATGTTGTTCCGCGAAACACTCCGAGTCCTCCGAGCGGGAACTCTCGAATCCCACAAACGATGAGAGATCCTCGCGAGGCCATGTGCTCGTACGTCAGCCCTATATGGGGAAGCGGAGCGATCGGCTCCTGAATCGCTCCCTGCGTGTTAAATTGCGTGGAACTTGCCGGAGAAACGCCAGCTCGCGGAGACCAAGTGGGGGGATAGCCAGATACGCCCCAGATCGCGCACCACTGAATGAGAATAAACCGTCCGCATACATTCACGTCCACTCTTCTCGTAGCTTGCACGTAGTACCGGGCCAGCGATAATGGGAGTCAAGGGACTCTACTCCCTGATCAATTGCAACCCGGAATTGCTGGAACCTTATTTTCTTCACGACGAGACGGTTGTCATCGATGGATGGAACATCGCCTACCGGTTATATCTCGGCAGCAACCTGGATTGCGTGTACGGAGGCGAACTCTTGGCATATACAGACGTCGTAAGAAGGTGCGTTGAGGACTGAGCTCATAGGTATCGGGTTGGAGTCAGGTGCGATTCGAGTTCCAAACCCTCCTCCATCTGCTATGTCTCCTTTTCCACAGTTACTTCGAGTTGTACAAATCATCCAACATCCACTGCGTGGTGCTGCTCGATGGAGCCTTCGAGCCCGGTGCAAAGAGTAGCACGATAATGGAACGAAGTCGACAAAAGATCACAGCTATGCGTTCGATTCGGGTTCGTTCATCGCTCGAATATCTCACCAAGCGGCCCTGGTCGTTCTACGCGAAATTCCTCTTTTCCTCGATGCTCGAGTTCATTTCAATTTCCGTCTTCCAGGGTGAAAACGCATCCAAGATAAAAGTGATGCCCCCCCATGCCAGCAGAGTTTTCTACGAGGTCCTACGCGATATGAGTCACGTCGAGGTATAAATCTCGTTTTCCAACCCTCAAGTCTATGGTCTGTGTTCCCCCGGCGAGCCTCACACCTTAGGGTCTCTCTTGGGTTTCCAGGTGTCGTTCTGTGTCTTCGAGGCCGATGAGTTCCTCGCGCTCGAGGCCAATCGGAGAAACTGCGTTTTGGTCTCGGACGACAGTGATTTTTTCATTTATGATCTGAAGAAAGGATTGATCAGACTCAACAGCATCTCGAGCTATACGGTTGAGCGGATGATTGACGGCCAGCAAGTCACGGGTGAATTTCGAGAAACAGCTCATGATCGAATTCCTCGGAAATCCTTACTCTTGTGAGACATCTCATTAGATCAATCGTTTTCCTCACATAGGTCTCGAGTGCAGCATTTACAAGATAGAGAAGCTTCTTCGGAGATTCGGGAAAAACTTCAATCCGGACCTGCTCCCAATATTTGGAGCTATCGTCGGCAATGATTTCGTGGCACAGGTCAGCTCGAGTTCTCGTTCCCACTACGGTGTAAATCGCATTTCATATCAGCTCAGATTAAGACGATTTTTTTTCTCAGAACGCATTCTCCAATTTCTTTAATACTATTCGGGTGCCTCGCCGCGTGAATCTCCGCTACAACCCTCCTCATGCAATACTCGTCGCTATGCTCAACTTCCTCTCGACTCAGTGGAACGTGGAACAATGCACGCGAGTCATCATGAGGTGTGTTCCGTCTTCGGGTCATTGATCTTTGTGACCTGAGAGATGACTCGCCTTCGAGAGCGTGAGTCAACCCCAGTATCGCCTGCTAACCTCTCACTATGCCAAATTTTCGTCTCCAGCTACACCCCCAAAGACCGAAGGGAGAAGCTGAGCAAACTTCTTGCCGACGGTATCGCGAGATATCGCATGGAGTACGGAGTCAATGTCAAAGTTCAATTCAGAGATGGTATGTGAGGGTTCGGGGTGCAGTCTCCTCACCCGTTCGTGCACAGGGCGCTACGAGATGCTTGGGACAGATTCGAGAACCTGACGATAGTCCCTCTTCCAGGAACGAATGTACCGGACTGGCTTCTCAGAAAGCACATTGAGGGAAATTTGTCTTGCACTGTGATAACGGTCATAGCGACTGGCATCATGTATCTCGATGTCCGCGTGGAGGCTCTCCACCTGCGAAGTTCGCATCTTGTGAGTTTCCGAACTTTATCCAAAGAGTGAATATGTATGCTCGCGGAGCGGACATGGTGATCGAGTGCTAATGAGTCAATCCCGACTAAATATCGGAGGCAAGAGATGGTGGAACCTCGATATAAATTCCGAAGCATTAGCGAATCGAGGCCGAAAGCTCCGACGAGACTTGACGGCTCTTCACAAATTCCTTCGCGTCGACATGCTGGACCTCTCGCGTCCGAGTATTTGCTCAACCGATCGGGATTGGTCAAAGCAACGACCTAAGTCTCGCCCCGTTTTTCCTCAGGTTACACTGCCAATGAGGAAGAATCTGTATCGGATTCTGTTCAAAAACAGAGCTCAATGTATAACGGAGTTGGACAGAAGCGGCAATGATCTACGCTTCACAGACGTCGAATTCAGTGAAGGTTCGAGCCCCGATTTTTTCGAGAAGTGATCGGAGTGAGGGAGAGAGAACCAAGCTTTCTAAGTCACTCCGAACAAACGTATTTTTATCTGCAGGCGAGATTGGTTTGGAGCAGATCCCAAGGCTGAACGCGGCTAAGCGACTTGAGTTTTTGAAACAATGTTGTTTCGTACAAACGAGCTGTGCTGATCTCGTGTCTTGTCACGGAGGGAAGCTACTGGTTTGGACGATGGAGTACACGGTGGGTTCTTCTTCCTCGGGTTCCCGAACGAAGAATTCCGAGTCTCATTCAAAGACTTGACCTCCCGCTTTCAGGTTTTCCACGGACATTATGACTGGACATTCATTGTGTGTATCATCATCATGTGTATAACCTCACAAGCTCTCGGGGCACAATGTTTCGAGGAGAGCGTCAGCTATTTGCTAGGGCAAGCAATCGACTCAAACGAAGTACGTAGAGACTCGATTCCGATGCGTCGTGAAAGAGCGCTGTCAATGGCGCAACCCTGCGATCAGAGAAATGAGACCGAGGGGGACTTGAGACAAGGACACGGTTCATAGATCGATCATTCCAGGTTCAACATTTGAAGAAATTCTTCCGGAAACCACTGAAAACTCATATTGTGAACCTCAAGCTGACACATCGGATAAATGAGTTCGCAGGGTGTCTCCGGATGGTTCGAACATTCAATGATCTCATCGGTGTTTATCAAAAGCCCTTCAAGTTTTATTTGGTTAGTAAATGCGACCTTCTAGGAGTCCTGGGAACTAGGCTGTTGCTCGAGAGCCAGTCACGAAGTTCGACCACGTGATATTGACAGGTGTCCAGTCTCCCGAAAATAACACGAGTCTCTATCGGCAGTTGTTCAATGGAGTTTTCCTCTACAACTTGTATTCTGACGCGGTCAGTCGGAAGAGCCCGGAATCGTTTGTGATGAGCATCTTCGGCAAGAATTCCTTCACGGAGAACTACCAACGTTTCTGCACAAAACTGAAGCCTCTCTTCTTCCCTCTCTGATTTAGATGATGAATTTTGTATATTCGGGGGGCAACGTGACTCCGATGACCTCGATATTTATTTCCTGTCAGTTCGACACATTCCGTGCATGGCGACCTCTAAGGCAGAAGTGACTTGTGCTGGGCACGAGTTATTGAATCGGCCTAATATACTTATCTGTATAAAACGACGACATGATCGATTTCGCTAATTATGTGCTGTTCTCATTCCTGGATCGGAATTCGGGCTAATGGAAGCGAACCATAGGGCTCGAGATGTTGACATTTTCTGACAAAGAGGTATAGCGCTGTGACATTTCCAGATTGTGCTCGGAGATTTCTGGCAGGTGCAGGGGACAAGCTTACTCTCAAGCGAATGACTCCCGGTCATGGTTCGGAACAGCTGGCGGATTTCCCTTGCGCCTATTTCCACACTAGGGAATCCGATAGCTTGAACTCTATCCTACTAAGACGGAGGTTCCCGTGTAGCGTCATTCTGGAGCTGACTGGAACAGAGCGAAGCCGTAAAGTTCAGCAAATTTACAACCACTTTACTACCACACCAAAGAGTGACTAAGACTGAGCATCGAAATTCTCCCAGCAAAACGAAAACTTTTCCTATGATTCCCGCCAAGAGGTTCTCTCGCCTCCTCCGCTGCGGTGAGGTTTATTCTTGAAAATGTCTATGAAGTCCATTGGGGCTGAATGCAATCAAGTTCCAACCTCTACCATGGGGCATGGCAGAGGCGGCATATCGCTGGAGTAGCATGTCGACGAATCCTTCTTGACCATGACGACTTCTGAAGTACCGAAACTCGATTACAGAAGTCGGAATTCTTTGACTCCTGCACGTAATCCTCGAAGCCTAGCGAGGCTTTCGAGTCTCGTCGGGACGTACAAGAAGCTTCAGAGTGAACCGATCGGGAATACTTACGTTTACGACACTTTCGGAAAACTAGGCGGTAGACCTGCACTCGGTGCCAGGATAAGGGTTGTCGTCCTATCGACATATCGATGCCCGTTCCCTACACGCTAAACATTTGACATGTCGTGAAGAAGTGCTCTGGGAGCTCTGCCATGTGGCCTCAGAGACATTGGCCCCATCGCCAGTCGATGCGCGTGCGAAGCTCCACGACTCCGCCCAATGCTTCGCGAATGAGTGAATACGTCTGAGCGAATTCATTCAGATCTATCGACTTCCGTTTCTTCTTTCCGGGAAGCGGAAGTCGATAAAACAGAAGTGACTATTTTCCTTCTGAGGGGCGGTTCCCGTTCGTCTAAGATAGCGACCAAGATCCAAGACTTCGGCCAATCGGCTAACCAAGACTCGTCCGGGGTAGACCTTCTGCTTCTTCGAGCTGTCGAACGGCGTGAAGGGAAGGTACCAATTCTTCATTCCGTGGCCATTGAGAATGCTGGAAACGATCAATTGTACGAACGGATGCCTCGCTCCGAAGACCGTATCCTCGAAGAGAACGTTTACCGTGCCCTGCTCGGAGAAGGAATGGGCTATTCATCCAAGGCGAAAGTCCGACGCCCAAACAGAAAAGGATCATTCAAGCGTTAAGTTTCTAGATTAAGTATAGGTCTTTGAGCGAAACTATTGAAACAGCCTTAGGACCAAGAGGTAAGACTGCAGCTTCTGCGACGTAGGTTTGCGTTTCGCCGGCTGCACACTTGCCTCGCGTTAAGCCAATGAACCACAGAAAGTCTCGAGATTTCTGCAAGTCCTAGCTGCCCTCTGTGCCATTTCTAGACAGAACTTTGTCATTTAGGACGAGCTCGATATCCGTTCTCGACTTGTGACCTTGTTCCCTATGTGGAAGCGACACGTGCGGCGAAATAGTGTTGAATAAGTGAGTCTCAATTTTGGATATTCGTTTCCCCTAATCATCTTCGGGCATTTACCGGGCGATGCATTCTCCTGCGTGTGGAATCCGGCTTATCGAACTCTCCTCCGGGAATCGGTATTGAGTGGCTGTCAGGACATCGTAGTCATTCTGAGATTTGCGAGGGTCGCAGTCTCTCGAGCCGGCACATGACTCTATCTCAATAGATCACGAGGGAGAACAACTCTCGCGTGAGCGAGTTTCTGATCGGAGCACGGAAGTAACGTAAGAGATTTTTCGATCCGCTCCGGGGTCACTGAAATGAACCTTCTTCACCGTTCCAGGCTTTGATTTTCCGCGTGCATACCCATGTCAAGATGTGGCAGAGAATAAGTCTACTCATCTTCATGGCGATTTTATCCTACGTGATACTGATGTGGCGAACTTCTCTCCTGACGGAGGATGCTGATATGTATTTCCCGGACGACGTGGAGGAAGATTTAGAATTCTACTCGGATGACTACTGACTATGTAATTCAGAGATGCAGAACGATATTCCAAGCATCAGTCCTATCTCCTTTTGGAGCAAGGAGAACAGCTCATGCTGCAGGCAGCCTCGCTCGAAGTACCCGGGAGAGGGGTCCATTGTTTCTCCTAACAGCTACGGGAACCTCCGGAATAATCTTGGAGGTCTCCTGACGAATGATCATTGAACGAAGTTGTAGATTGATTGTTGAGTTCCATTCCCTTTACATCGAGTTATCTCCAATCGGAGCATCCTAGGAAGCCCAGAGAAGCTCTGATTGAGATTAGGAAACGAGAAATCGTGATCGCTTTAAGACAGTGAGACCTGTCAGCACAGCAAACTGTCATCTGCTCGTGGATGAATAATAAATACGTTGTCTGGCAGGTTCAATACTCAGTTATTCACACTTTTCAATAGCTTGTAAAGAATCATATCGATACCAGAAGCCTGCGAGCCTCGATTTCCATTGAATCTCCCGCAATCGATGGCTACGTGCTTGAGCTACCGTCATGGACAGCTCCGACGAAGCCACCAAGAGTGACGAGAGAGTATCCATCTCGGCAGCGCTGTCCGTCCGAGATGCATACTGGCGCCAGGACTGGATAAAGACAGGGAAAAACACCGAAGATCATGATGCTTTTCCGGCCTGGGATGACGAGACCCAGTGTCACCTCCGGAGTCGTAAAGTATGGAATCTCCAGCGGACTTTAGAAGAAGGGATGCCGACTCCCGGAACGTCTGGCAAAAGCATTTAGCGGAACCGGTGGATTTTCAGTCCTTGAACGTCAGGAGCCCTCCTGATCTCTCCCGAAACGGATTCATTTTCAAGACTACCAAAAATTATTCACTCCAGATGAACTGAGCTCTGGCGAAAAAAAGGGTAGTCATTCTACTAGCGATTATTATTTATGATGTCTCACGCAATAATAAATTGATTTGATTCTTCGCCATCTTGAATCCTGATGGTCATTCAGGCGCGTCGATGGAAAATCGAGAGGCTGCCGGCGTGCCTCGGAGCGCCGTTCCGCTTTTTAGAGGCTTCGGAGACTCCCAATCAGAGGAGCTCCGGGCGCGAGACCGACCCAAGTGTGCAGCAATGGACCATCTGATTTATACGCTTGAATTCGTGTGGAGAGCTGGCCATTCCTCGATCAAACCCGATCTCTTTGTTGAAAATCCTAATCCTTGTCCCTATATGTATCTTCATGCTGCTCGCGCAATACTCTCAGTTTCGGTCCGTCTCGAATGTCGACTATTGACTTGCCCTGGTATCGCTAGAAATCGCGGCCGCAAACACCATTCTGGCTCCTGCTCGACCGTATTCTCACCAGACAAAGAACCGAGCTGAAGTCTGCAATCCTGGATGAGAGTCATCGAAGTGCACACATCGCCCGCCCTGTCGTCGAATAGAACAAGGTACCGCTGTTTTTTCTCCACTTCAATCCATTTCTGTGGGTGACGAGTCAGAGGTGGCACAACGGGAGCCGTGCATCGACCTCTACGTTCGACTCATCTCCGTACGTCGCCTAATCAGTCGCCCCGATCTTGGGGTCTGAGGAATCGAGACCGAGTCACAACGGAGAAGCTCGGACCTTGCATCTGCCCTGATTCCTCGCTATCCGCTGATATTGGAGAGGGCCATGCGGCTTCGATACTGAGCGTGGGCAGCTGGTCGTTCCAGAATGAAGGAGCGTAGAACATTTTGCTCAATCGGCTGCAGGCTCGAGTTGTCTCGACGACGTGCAATACAAGATCCTGATCCTCACTTACACCAGGATCGTCACTCGTGGCGATCTTCGGGGTGATCATTCGAATGCAATAACTCGCCGGGGGTCCAGTTTTGACTTGATTGCGGTCCGGATGAAAATTCGCAGGATGTTGACAGGAGCCCGGGCTGCGACCCTATCGATTGCTTGCAGACCTCGTCGCGGACCTCACAGTACATCTTGAGCTCGTCAGCATATGTCTTGTACGGAATGTCCACGTCGGCGAAGAGGTTTTTCAGATATTGGTCTTAGATGAATCAGAATAATTGGGGAATTCAGGCGTACTGGGGTGCTTCGATGAGCAAGCCCCGCCGCATGCATGTCAGCTCTCAAAATCAACCAGGGAGGTACGTCCTCGCGCATGCCAGGACCTACACCGAGAGCCTCCACATTCCGTGAAAGGAGCGCCACAGCGTTGAGGCTAGAGTCATCCCCATCGCGCTCGAGATACTGCAAAACCTTGACTAGAACCCATGACTAGAGACGCGATACGGACGGACATGTCCTTGTCCGGCCGGCATATCCGGTTTCACGGAAATTTGTGAAATTATCCGGTTTTCTCAGCGTATATATACAGCTAATTGCATCGAACTTTCCTCCCTTGCTGGATCTATCGTCAAACTGGAGTCTCGTTCGGTGACAATGGGCAAGCAGATTCCAATCCTCGATCCGGTCAGACCTAACGTTGGTGACGACTTTCCGAAAGAAAATACTCTTCGTAAGTTCGGAGAAATCTTCGGCAATAAGCGAAGTTTCCCGCATCTGAGAAACTGTGTCATCGGCGACTCAGAGACCTTCGGAGGAGCTACTTTCTGTAATGTTTAGGTCTGGAAATCTTCCTCTCCTCCAAAAAAGCATTGCGACAGATCGCCGTACAAGTCTTCCAAAACATGAGATAGCTCGATGCCTCTCGATGGATTTCGAGACGTATATTTTGCTTGACCGAGACTGGCTGACTATCTGCGGGCAAGAATATTTGATACGACCGGTTTGTACAAGTAACGTCTCTCAACTGGGGATTTCAGAACTATTAGAAGACATGTCTGCTCTCACAGTCCGGTTTTGTGACCGCTTTCGGCGAGAAAAAGAGCCCGGTCGAATCACGTCTCTACCCTTGATCAATCGCTAGGACTGTTGGTAATGCGGCCTGATCCTCCAAAACTCGACTCGAAAATCATAACGCTTCCTCGTCTATGCATCAACGTGACGACCGGGAATCCCGAAGACGCGGCTCATCCCCCCCCTATCCACTCCCAACTACGAGGGCCACTGCCTGCTGCAGGTGTCGCGGTCTACGACTGTCCGAACTAGCCGACAAAGGGACCTGCCCAACGCTTGGAGCATCGCGGAGTTTTTGCGAAGACGTGCGCTCGAGCTCGAGAGACACACTCGAAAACAGACAAAAAAGCCGGTCTACTGTCTTAAATTCCACTAATCATTGTTTTACAGCCCAAGAGATAGCGTTCGTGTGGGAACAAAAAGACAGATTTCACAGACGCCTCTCCTCATTTGCTTTAGATTCTCTTGCGGTCAATGCTGGTCGAGAAAGCAGCAGCCGGACATAATAACGGGATTCTTGAGAAGTCCGAAATATTCACATCGCTTTGAGGACAGATACTGTACGTGAGCGAGGAAAAAATAGACGAAAATCTTCGAATGGTTCGCGGTGGGAGTTAATGTGATCCTGGGAAGAAAGATCGGACTTTGCGTCGTTTGTGGGGGGGAGCCCCACTTTCTTCTCTGGCTCGTTCGGAGCAATGGATCGCTGAGTGTGTATTTCGGTCGCTGTCTCATGATCTTCATGGTGTCTCCATTGTGTTAAAGGTCCGCGATGTCTATGCCATTCGAGGAAGTGCTAGAGCAGGTGGGGAGTTTTGGAAAATTCCAATACTTTCTCATTTTCTACCTGTGTTTCCTCGTGGCTCCGCTGCGTGTGATTCCTCTATCTGTGCATATCTTCACCTTGTTGGAGCCCCCGCATTGGTAGGTTGAGCTACGTTGTCGATTCCAGGCGGAAATTCACGCTGATTGGTTCTCATTTTGCGTATCGATCTCAAGCTCGAATCGGCTATACGCCTTGCTCTGCCGGTGAAGGGGGCGCTTTCTAGTCCTTTTTTTCTAATTGGCTAGTTTAGGTGCCGGATTCCAGAACTTGAGCGATTCAACTTTACCGATCTCGAAATCCAGAGACTTTCGATTCCCCGGATCCACGGAAGTCAGGACCATTTTGAAAAGTGTGAGATGTACGATTACGACTGGGGAAAATGGAATCCGTAAGTTTCAAGTGGGAGAAAATTACCGTCCTATGTAAGGTAGATATGAGTAGAGTTGTTTCTGTCTGGCCGGACATTGTCCTGCCGCGAGCCGTTCACGGTCCGATCGGGCATCACTCGAAGAACCAGACACGTGACTTCGGGTATCTGACTTTGCGGCGATTACGTACATCGCTTATCTCTCCCGAGGATCCGGGCATCTGCCGATTCAGATTGCATAAAGGAAGCTCCTCCGAAGGAGACACGAGCCCCTCTCGCGCTCATCGGTATCCTTGATGCTTGACTATAGCTATAGCTTCGACTATAGCTCCGAGTAGCTTGATTGCATACAGTTGAAATGTGTCGATCGCAAGGTTCCATAAAAAATCTAGAGGGGTCGGAGCAAGCCACTACCGCACTTCAAGAAAACCTCGGCCGTTCCGCGAGCGCGCGATGAGGTTGCGGTTTGACTGGACTTGCCGGGAAGTCACCCGCACATCGCGGCTTGGAACTTCTGAGGCGCCCCGAGAGTCGACTCGCGTCACGTTTTTTTCTCCACATGGGACTGCTATTTAGCCCCGATGGATCGTGAAGCATCAAGTTACTTCCTTCACCAACCAAGTTCCCTCGTCCAGCGCGAAAATCCTCTCAGTATTGAACGTGCTGGGCGTTCACGAGAAGGTGGGCCCGCTCGTTCCGCTCATTTACAAGACTCTCGTTTTCGATTGTTGATTGTGGCTCAGAGCCGACTCCGACAGAGGAAGAATTTCGCAATTTTCGAATCTCACGGCGATCGCTCGAGATCAATTCGGACTCGTCCGCGTGTGATGTTTCGAAAACTTGACCAGGAATGGCATCTGACTCAAGGAAAACTCAGGAATGCGGATATTCTACTCTGAACAGCGCCAAACAAGAGAAAGAAGAAGACGTGGTCGTGTTGGTCGGATCAACATTCGAAATATTAGACAATCATTCCTCCCTCGTTGATGGAGTCCCTCCGGAGGGTCCTGGGATTCCTGGGGAAGACCATTTTGAGAGAATGCCCTGCTCAAATTCTCTGACCCTGTAGGCTCATTGATCCCATTTCCGATTAGCAGCTCTTGGTTAGTCTCGGTCTGTGAAGCCTGGGTATGATCAGAAAGCCGATCTCGGCGACGTCCCATCCGAGCCGAACGGTTCGATCAAATCCAGGAGTGAACCCTAAGATTAAGTCATTGCGCGCAAGACAGGAACCTCGTACGTCAGCGAGAAAACGGCGATTCGGACCGCTGAGCCGGACTAAGATCTCGTTGTTTTATTCAGGAGTCTCCCTTCTCCAAAGTTCAACGAGTCCTCGCCTCGGATCTCGTGCATGAGTGGGTATACATACGACTTCAGCAACTTCTACCCAACGGTCGTGAGTGAGGTGAGCAATTGATGAAGGTTTCGCCGATCCCGGAAAGAGATCAATACATACTGGGACTTCATGTTCGATCGTGGAGAATATCAAGCATAGCGTCCGCAGCTGAATGATTCGGGAAGATGATTTTCAGAATGATTGGGTGTGTGGCGACACGTACAAAAATTACATTGCCAACTCTGTGTTCTTCGCTTCGATGTCCGTGGGAGTCCTCATCTTAGGCCACGTAAGCGACATGTGAGCATCGGAATCCTCGGGCCCGAACATGAATGGAATCGGAAGGAAATTAGTTCAATGGTCACCTTACGATTCTTCCGGGAACTTACGGATCATTCCACCATTGCAGAGTTGGACGCGTGCCAGTGATGTTCGTGACTTACGTCGTGGCGGGTTTGACGGGCATAACGACCTATTTCAGTGGAGAGTCTTTCGAATTGTTCGTAGCCACCCGCTTCGTCATGGGTTTCGTTCTCCTGTCGATAAGCATAACACCGTTCGTGCTCGGTACGTAACGACTGAGGGCGGCTCCCCGTCGGTCGATCCATGTATACATTGTTGTTGAAGGCTCTCGCGACTAGGACAAATTTCTCGCATTTTCGCAGCCGTTGAATACGTTCCGAAGGAGCGTCGAATGCTGGTTCTCTCCGCTTTCCGGTTCGTATATCCCGTGGTCGGGGTGATCGTTCCGTGGATTGCGAAAGCTTCTGGCTACTGGAGAACCCTACAACTCCTCAACGTGATTCCTTGCTGTATAGCGGCACCTTTGAGCTTTTTCATACCAGAGAGCTCCCGATGGCTTATGTCGAAGGGCAAGCTAGACCAGACGAAGAAAATCCTGCACAAGATCGCCCGCTGGAATGGAAAAACACTCCCGCCAAATGCTCTCGATGGGCTCGAGGTAAAATCGAGCTCAGTTCAGGGCCTGCGGGTTGAAGACTGACTGGCTACCGCTCCAGGCATCTAAGAGTCGAGATCCTATTGCAGCTCCCCGGCGGCGACAAGAGAAAACAGATTAGCGTCTTTGCGATCGCGAAGTACCCTCGACTCCGACGCAATGTGCTCCTCACCCTCTTCTTGTGGTATGCTCTTTCATTCTTCCCGTCTTCTCACGTCTTGAGAGCAAGATCCGGTGGTTCCTGCCGCCTCGGAGCTCCGAATTGGATTTGACTTCTCTGAGATTCCGAATCCCCCGCAGGCTCAACTCCTGCTTGGTATACTCTGCTGGTCAGCTATATGCGGCGCAGGTGACGCCCTCCCCGTTCTTGACGACATCTGCCACAAACGGCGTTGACATCCTCGCTACAGCGGTTGCCATGCCTCTGGCGGACTACTGGGGACGGAAGCCGTCGATGATGATGTTCTATATTCTGTCGGCCATCTCGTACTTCATCATAGGACTCATTTCCAATTGTGAGTTCGAGAACTTCCGGCTCAATAGGAGTACGAAGCAAGGGGTGAAATTAAAGGATCTGTCCGCTTCCGGCGTCGATGATATTGAGAAAGATGACGAAGGAATCTTTTTCTTTCCTGGAACAGCTTTCCTAATCATGTTCATCCTCCTGATGATCGGCCGCTTCGCCTTGACCATGGCCTACAATGTGGGATATCTCTACGCGGCAGAAGTTTATCCGACTGAAGTTCGCTCTCAAGCTCTTTCGGTCAGACAGGCATTCGGATCCCTGGGGAAATTCTTCAGTTCTCAGATCGTCATGCTTGTGAGTAAAAGGAGAATCTCCTTCGCTTTTTTCGCCTCATTTTATCATGTTTCGGAAGAAACGTAAACATTGACATCTATTCACAGGCCTACTACGGTCCGTTCGTACCTTTGTTCCTGTTCGGAATCATCTCGGGAACAACGGCTGCGATGGCCCTTCCCCTTCCTGAGACACTGCACCAAGACCTACCGGAAACGCTCGAAGATGGAGAGAATCTCAAAGGTGAGCAGCCCTCCCAACGTCCTCGGTTTCCGTAGATGGAATATCGCACAATTTCGGGAATTTCGAATACCGGTTGATGAATTCACATATCCAACCCTCCCTTTGGAATGAGCAAATATCAGTGCTGCCCCTAGCTTCGATTCTCATGAATCTTACTTGGCGCAGGTTTGCCGCGGTCCTGGATGTTCGGTTGTCCCGTGAATCCTGATCAGGAAGCTCCGGACTCCCCGGCGCGCCGCAGAGGGAGAACCCTGTCGGCTGCGTCCGCGGCTACAGTTGACTCCATATCACCGGAAAACTGATTTTTCCGCGGTAAATTCGTTTGTGAAGGCTATTTTTTTGTTTATGTGTACATAATGTGTACAATGCTAGAGTTGCTCATTTTGATTGACAAATGGTCACACCGCCAATACTCTGGGAATAAAAAAATCGTAGCTTCTCGGAAATATTCGTTCTTGTAATCGAATTCGTACCCGATCCTTCTTGAACGGACAAAATTATCCGGACCATCCCCGCAATACTCCTAGTTTTATGAATCTCCCCTTCCTTCTCCTCCCCGAAGTTGTCTCGCTCAATGGCGCCTTCAATCGAAATATAGACACTGTTTTCTGAGAATTGTACGTTTGTGATCTACGTATGAGGGGCATAAAACCGTGAGCGGGGCAGGTATGCCGCTCCTGGCGCCCCCTGACCGGAACACAGCAGTGACGAGAATCCCACATTCGAGCCTCGACGAGGCGTAGCTCCCGACATGCGCTGACGCTTTGAATGAGAAATCGAAACATTCAAGTATCATTGTTGCGTTATGGCTGTGAAGCCCACAGAGCGATCGAATACACGGCCCGACTGGAAGTGCGCGCGCATGATCGTCACTTCTCTCCGGAGTTCTCTCCGAGACTCGATTTCAGTTCTAGCGAATATGGAGGCTCGTATCGTGCAAGGTTCGTGAATGGGATTTCGACTTGCGATCTTGCGTTCACGCTGCAAGACCAAGCCATGATTGAAGTGTGTGGCCCACTCCGACATCGATAGTTGTTAGTCACGACCTGAAGGCTTTTTCGGTCATCGCTGAGTCGACTTTCGTCATCAATCAATATAAGTATTTTTGACGCTATGCGAGATCTTCCCCCTCGACTTCATGGAACGCTCTGGATCTCGACCTTATGGGCTCACAATCCTGGCTGCATGCAGCGATCGGCCTCGATATGACGTCGTTCAAGTATTCTCACCGAAATCATTTCAGAGAATCGTACTGAAAATTGCGATCGAGACGAAGCCGAACTCTTCCCTTTGACTCTCTACACGAGTATATCTGTTTCCGATCGGAATGGCGAAGCGTCAACGAGTACGTTGTGTGGGGGGGAATATCTCCCCGTTGTCGATGCCATACCACCTTGCTTACAGGAAGAGCTTGAATCTTACTCAACAAGGGGGAGTCCTTCCAGATAGTGAGAAGATTCTCTCGGTGACCGGGGAAAACGAACCGTTGTACGCGTTGAGAGTCAGGCAAAGCAGAGGTATTTTCGAGCTATGATACCTCTAAAAGTCCGGCTCATAAGAAAACGGTGTCATTCTTCTTCTCAGAGAAGACACAAACATAATTCTGCTTCACCCGTTCGAGAAGTCTATTCTCTTCCAGAACCAGGGATTGTTCACACATTATTGAGTCTCCTGGATCGCTCAGACAACGTGCTCTTGGACCTGCGCACAGACGACGGCTTCACGGACTCGCAATGCATTTGCGGCGGGTGCCAGTATTTTAGGAAGCAACACGGCTTGATTCAACCCAGCCAGGTTAGTCCCACGGGAATTTCCTCCCGATGTTTCTCCAGGAGTGGGCGAATCCCTCATGAACATTATTTCACCTTGCTCATTCAGCGAGGCGCCCGTGGGCTCTCTCGATCGGGAGGATCGTCATTCGGAACATCAGAGACTTCCAGAAGTCGTATTTGCAGGCATTGGCTTGCTCATTGCAAGGGGGTCATGCTGTTTCCCGATCCCAGAATATTCCACCTTCGTATCATTTGATTCCAGACGCTGACTGTCTCCACCCGACACGGAGTATTCTGCTACGTTGAGCTCCGCCACGATGTCTTCACGGCTTCGGACTCGGCAAAAGTCGTCTCGTTATGCACGATGCCGACCAAAGCTCACCAAGGAGCTCACATGGTAGGCATGACGTATACTCTATGGAGGAATAGGGAATGATTCTTTAGAGACTCTTTTTCATGGACATCTTGTCGACCGTAGGTCAGTTATCGCGATCGTGGCAAGAGGGAGTTCCTCGGCAGCCTCAGGAGGGATGGCCAAGGTTTTTCCATAGAGCCACTGGGTAGTACAACAGCCCAGGATATGATAATCATGCTCGCGCTTGGGGCCGCCGCGGTGAGCAGCCTGAGGATTTTACTCGTCGCATACGGAAATTTCAATTCCATGAGACGGGCCGACTTCAAATTTGTAGTCATTCCAGTTCCTGCTCCCAAGGGAGTGTCCTGCTCCGAGCAAATATCCTCCGTCTTCAAGACGAGGGCGCTTCAAGGTAATACTTTGCTCTCTCCCTCAGCCGAGAAGGAATCGTCTGAAGAGTGAGATTACCCGGTTTTTCTGAATTTCCAGAGCACCCGAAGACCAAACGAAAACCGAGTCGACTCATGCATCAAGTGTTGCTGCTGCAGCTCCAGAGGAGAACAGCACAATGCTTGCTACATTGTGACGGATCTATGCCTTCGCATTCTGTGCCTCTCCTCCTCCGGAGGCTGAGGCGAGAGACGACTGCGTGGCGGCACTTTCCCGAAATGCATCAAGGCGCTCGATTGTCCGATTCGGTCCAGAGTTCTGAGGCAAACGGCCTGCAAGTGCGCCGTTCGCACTCTGGACGCTGGCAAGCCTCTCGTGGAAGGCATCGGATACGCAGAACGACTCTGTTTCTGTCGTACCTCCTGCGAGGTCGCTCTGGCCTCAAATTAGCCTCGATCGATCCATCGTCGAGGTCATCCGGTGCGACGAGCGAGAAATCGTCCATATGCGTGGTCCATGATTGAGTGATCATCATCCCGTGATTATTATTTTGGTAGCTCGAACGGGAGCCCCTATTTTATTCGAAATATACATACATTGCATTCTGCTATTCTGTGAAAAATCGGAGTAGGTACAAAAATCGAAGAGACCGATCACGATCGAGTCCTGATCACTCTTGTTTGAGCAAACAAACGTTCTCATTGATCGAATCGTTGAATGATTTTCTTTGGTAGGCAAACTTGTAGAAGTTTATGAAAAGAGCGAGCCCCAGGAAGCCTTGCGGCATCATCATCATGATGAACTCCGGGGGATAGCCGCAATCATAGAATATCGGGATAAACCCGTGGAGGATTATGGCAATGTGCTGATAAATTTGAGCTTTGGTGAGATGACGTTTCCACCAGAGATATTTTTTGAACCGCGGGCCGAGCATCGCAAGGAAGTAGTACGAGTACATTACGATGTGAATGCAGCAGTTCATGCAGATGCCGAACATTGTCTGACCGTCCATTCCGATATACATGAAAATGTAACCGTTGAGGACTATCAGTGCGTGGTGCGACACGTGTTGAGCGGTGATATGATCGTATTTTTTGCGGAGCACGAAGAAAATCGTGTCGAGAAAATCCAGTGCACGGATCAGCAGGTACCAGTAGCAGTAGGAGACGAGAGCGACCGAGTTCTCGTCTGGAGAGTGATTCATCGGTTGGCACAGGAGGTTGTATCCGCCCCCGATGTAGGAGTGGCGCAGGAACTTGTAGGCGAAGAAACAATTCGCCACCACCATCGAAGCATTGTAGAGTGAAATCATGCCTTTCAGGTTGTACGGCTTCCTGTTCGCCATCATCCGGGGACCATAGCTGTAGATGAAGTAGAGGTAGGCAACTTCCAGCACAATCACGTAGATGGGATTCGAGATGAGGAACCAGTCCCTCGTCCGGGGATCGGCATGCTCATACGCCCAGTTTTGGAAAGCTGTTATCGAGCTGAACATCTTCGTGCGCTCCCGGGGGCTCTGATTCCCACGAGAGACGTATTCTCTGCACCGGCTCACTTCAGCACGTGCTCATCGAGAATGCATAGACAGCGAAACTTCCAAGGCACTGATCACAGAAGGGTAAGGGGCTCTCTGAAGCAGACTTCGTCGGACCTTTCCGCCAAACTTCGCACCTCCACCCCTCAACGGGAGAGATCAGGAGGGCCCGGAGCGGAATGAGAAGTGAATTGTGCAGCGGTGGCATGCCAGAGTCCCATGTGCATTTAATTGCCGCTCCAAGCAGCGAGGAGTTGGTTATTGAGCTACCGGAATCATTCAGAATCTCAAAGCGCGTGCGTCTTCCACTCGGAGACTTTTCGCATATCTGAATGATCCTCGCGAGCTATTCTCAAGAATCAGGCACTGGGACAGTCGTTCCACCATTCCGCAAACAGCGCTCGTACAAGTTCAGGGTCGAGTCATTCACATCGGAAAGAATGTTTTGCCTCCGAACCGAAGCTCTGCCATCTTATCTGCCGCAGGATTCTTTTTTTTCTGGGGGATCTTGACCGATCCAAGGAAGTCGGTGATGGCCATCACGTCTGTCAATGAGGATTTCGATCTTTATTGGGCTGACTAGTTCATTTGCACAGAAGCCCGTTCGCGAGGAACGGCGAACTCGCTCCTAAGTGAGTCCCGAGTACTGGTTAAAATAACTTTTTTTTGATCGATTGAGGATTCCAGAAAATCACCACCCACATCCGATATCTGGTGGAAAATGACTTGAGGAGAGGGATACTACGATGCTATTCTTGCATACTGAAAACCGTAAAATGCTCCGATTTTGTCAAATTTCCCCCTTGGGGAGACGTCTGTCGAAGCGTTTGAAAATGTGCAGCGCTCGTGGTAGTTTCTGGCATCCGTTTCGGAGTAGGACTCCGACAGTATCTCCGAGAGGGAGTTCTCTAGGCCTCTCTCCTTATTAGGAGATTACTCTGGGTTCACGATCCCCGTGCAGTCATGGAACAGATTCCTCGAAAGAGAATTCTCAACCAAAAAAATTGGTTCACCAATGAAGGCAGAATATCTTCCACGAGAATGCACACGATCGCGAGAGGGGAATCTTCGCAGAGGTGATTTTCGAAATAGGTGTCGCGAATCCGAACACCGCTCGACTTGTGGTGGTGTTTCTGAGCGAAAGCGGAATTTCGAAACGGTTCCGGCGTGACCCTGACACGAAAGTGAGAGCAAACACACGAAATCCGGGGCGGATTGGATGCCGCGTCATTCTGCTGATGAAGGAAATTCTGTGATGCCACGACTCCGCGAATTCAATGCAGGAATTATTATAGGGCTTTCCGAACTTATGTTCGAACCTTGTTTCATACTGTTATTTCGATGGAAAAATGCCAACCTTTCATCGCGGCAAGTTCTTCAATGCATCCCCACTGTATTGCGTTAATTCCGTGCATTTTTCCCTTACAGCGTGCATCTCCAGTAGCAATCAGCCATTCTCATCGTGGACTCATACATCGCGAGGAGGCACAAGTCTCAGAAGAGAGTACATATATATACAGTCTCATGCTCGTGAACATAGCTTCGATATAGATTATTCTACGACACTGTGGAGTGCCTTCCCCCTTCCTACGCTCTTCCACTCATTCCAGCATAACACTCCGCTTCGATTCATAAGGGTTCAGACTTCCCCCTTCCTACGCTCTTCCACTCATTCCAGCATAACACTCCGCTTCGATTCATAAGGGTTCAGACTCGTTCTGGCTCATGCTCGGTAGACATAATATCCTAGACTTTACCCCTGCTCATTGTCGCTCGATTGGCGCGTGGATTCTGACGAGGATTCACACCCCGATATCCTCCGTTGAAGCGCAACGGAGCCGGCCTCTTTTCGTAACGCACTGGAGGTGGCATGGGGACCGCGGGATAGTCGTCGGCATCCATTTCTGGCGAATCTGGGGGAGGTTGAATAGGGGGCATTCCCATGGCGGGCATCTCCGGTTGAATTGAATCTTCGTCCATCGGTGACACCTCTTCCATTTCCATCATGGGATCCATCATAGGCTTCATCATGGGTTTCATCATGGGCTTCATCATGGGTTTCATCATGGGCTTCATCATTGGTTTCATCATGGGCTCCATCATGGGCTCCATCATAGGCTTCATCATGGGCTTCATCATGGGCTTCATCGTCATTGGTTTCATCATCATCATTGAGTTATCAGTGATGACGTCGAAATGTATGTCTAGGGAAAATTGAACATGAGTCAATGGTCGTTAAGGGACGAATAATCAGTTCACCTGGATGCCCGATGGCGTACTCAGAAGGAAACTTTTTCGGCTACTGACCGTGATGGTGATCGTGGAGCATGTCGCTGAGGTCGATGACTGCGGGCATGGTCGGACAGGGCGGCTTGAATGGTTTTTCAAACGTCATCATGGGCATCATCATAATGGGCATCACGGATGGGCTTTTCGGAGTCATCAACTGCACGGCTGCGTGCAGGAGGAGTCTGCAGCCCAAGAAAAAGTCGTCTAGTTCCCACGGTTATCGATAGCATCATTCTGTTATCACGTTCGACTCTTGAGGGACCTCGTGCGAATGATGAGAGAAAGCTCTCTTTGACATCGGGGGTGGGACAGGCGAAGACGCCCCCGGGATCTCCAGGTTCGTCTGAGACAAAACGATACTTACCCGTTCTTCAGAACTTTCTTGAGCTTAGCGGCATCGCTCACACTCACGGCTGCCGCGAGCACGAACGCGAACACGAGCACCGCTTTCAAGGGGCTGAATTTATCAGACATGGTTGGCAAACGATCATACTGCAACATCTGGCTCTACATGTGTTTTTATAGCGATGACAAGCCGATGGAAATCATTTATTACGCGGTGGAAGAATTCCCTTCTCCATCTTTTAGTGTCAAGGAAAATTCGATCGGATGCCGAACTGAGCTTTGGACCGACTTACAACATTCAAATTAGGGAATGCAGCAATGATCCGTTTCGAACAGTTTCCTTCGACTGACTGCCATTTCAATACAACAGAAAAACACGGAGACCTATCCACGAAGAAACAGAAGGAAGTAGGCTCCCTGATCGCCGGAAAGAATATAAAATACCTAGCGAGAAATATATAGCTTCGCGAGCATTGTTTTCCCGGGTTACGTAGAAGGAACGATGTTCTGCTTGAAGGTCTCCTATTGAGCCCGTTGGGGAATAACACGACAACCGATTTTTTTGATCGCTCTTGAGCGGTGTCTTGGAGCGGCGGTACGAGGTGACGAGAGGCACAGGAAAATATACGGTACGAGGTGTCCGTGAAACCTTGTGGAGCGCGTCTTGTCAATAGCGCCCTCTTACGAGGCGACACCGGACCAAAAATAAACCAGTTGTCGTCTCCAATGTCAAGGAACTCACACTTGTGATCCCAATTCTCACTCCAGGACTGATGCGAACGATAGCTAAACCTATTCATACAAGCTCCTCCCAGGAACAGGAGGACTCGGTCCTCCGACTTTGGAATCATAAGAGAGTTCGATGGCTTTGTCCTCATATCATTGTAAGATCACCCGAATGCACTATGGGGATGAGCAGCCTCGGCGCTCGCCCGATGTGGCTCTACTCTCGACTATTTTTCTTCCGGACCCTATGTTCTTTTCGTTGAATATTATTCCCGGACCGAGTTAACATGATTTGATCGTCGACTTTTCGAGTGTGGAGGCTCCAGCCTGTTACGAGAAAGCTCCGAGTAAATGGCTGTTAAAGAATTAGGTTCGGAGCGAAGGAAACCCTTGTCATTCGGGCGAAAAGTCAAAAAGGCGCGAGCTCAAACTGGGCGAAATACCATTTGGGCGAGATGCCGTTTAGGCGAAAATAAATATGGGCGAAATAACATTTGGGTGCCGAATAGGTGGGATCTCTTATGAGGGAACTGATCACTCATGCGGAATCGACGGGAAACAGGACCTGGTGATCGCGAGAATGAAAACACCTTGTGAGTTTCTTTGCCATAGGCGACATATAGCACCAACGACTTTGTTGGCGTCAGGCGAAATGATAGTTATTCTCGTCAATTTTAATTTACATATCTTTCTACGAAGACGAGTAGAAGTTGACGTACCACAAGTTACGACTCCATGGAGAAGCTTTGCGCGATGCCCCGCATATACTCCACGTGCGTCCCGTTCGAAAAGTCCCTCACAATCTCTAAAATCCCCCTGTCGGCCTCCACTTATTGCGCTCCTTAGCACTTAGAGCACCCCCGAGGAATCGTTCCAACTGGAAGTTTCGATTTCTCTGTATTCTCCTCAAGCCGTCGATGAAGTTCCCCAGCGTCGGGTGGCTGACTCCGAACTCGAGCTGCATGCGTCGATGAGCGCCTTCCGCGTGGTTGTTTGTACGCGCCTTGCCGTCGAGTGTTCGTTGGAAGACTGACCACATGTCTACCGGGAACAGTGGCTCCCGTGTCAATATCGCTCCTTCACGGCTGACTCCGTTCAATCTTCCAAGTTCCACGTCCTCGAAGTCATTGAGAACGGCGACGAGCTCCGGCGGCGGGAGTGCTGCGAGCTCGGAGATCGCGTTATCCAGCTCGGCCGGTGGAACGAAAGCCAAGGCAGCGATCATCCTCTCGTTGAGTGCGAATTTGTCGTCATAAATATACCTGTTGAAGACATTATCAGGAAAGAAGAATGAGAGGGTGCTATGATGGACTGAGGCTTGGAACTGGCAAGCCGGATCAGAGGAGTCCTCTCTCCGAGATTCGAAAAGAAATTGAAACGAGCATATGAAATCGTTCGGCATATCCAGTCGACCCGTCCATCGATCGGCTCAGAGAACGGGTCTTCCCGACTCATAAATCCTCCTCCCGCCAGCTCGAGCTTCATGCTTTTCACGAGGTGGGAGGAACAGCCGTCCATTCTCGCATAGGATGAGAAAACGCTGCGCACGGCGTTCATGACAGCCCTTCCGAAGTCCATCACCACGGACAGAGAACTCAGAGCCGGCCACGCGTTCTTCAGGAGACTCAGCGCCCTCGTGTAAGTTTTAGCGGTCCTGATCGGAGGCAGCGCATACGCGACCGGGAAGACACACTGGGACGATCCTCCTTTTTTCAAAAGCTCTTTCACAAAAAAAAAGTGTTTTCAAAAGCAGGGGCCTACATACGAAGCCAGAATGCTCATTTAGCAGATAGGACAAGCTCCCCGGAAAACTCACCAGGAAATGTGGGATTCTCAAGGACAGACTCATCAAACTGGTAGGTCGGTTCGAATTCAATGAAATTCCGCTTCGAACATCGAGTACGTTCTCTGGGTGGGTTTCGATTGGTACTCGCATGGTGCATGTATGAAGAAAAAAACTCTCCTGCAGGCCGGAGCTAGAGCCAGAGCGAAGAGGGATCATTTTGCCTCTACGATCCTGAACCGATATCGTGTGATCTCGAGCTCACAATCAGTTCCGTGAGATCAGCATCTCTATTCGCGATCCGGCGCAGGTCCCGGATTCTTCTTCGTGATCTGCAACTCTCCATCTGACACTTCTAGGTATGATGAAGGGAGACATTTCAAGATTTCAATTCGATTCCTAGCGCTATCGCGTGCACTACCGGAGCGCGCGGTTATGCGTATATCGAGAGAATCGTGATGTTGCAACGGTCGGAATTTTCAGCGATATTGAACTCCGGAGGCTGTTCCCGGGGCGCACCGGGAAAAAAGGATGCTACCGCGTCCGAAGAGATGTCGGATGGCACCTCAAACGGAATAGATCGATTTTAGCTTCAAGACAGGCATTGTGGTCGATGCAAGCTCAATGAGAGCCCGCTTTCCTTATTACCGAAGGACCGGGTCTAAATATAACCGGACACCGCTTCCCGACTCCCCGATACGACTGGCATATTACTCTTGACTCCCTGATTGGACACCGCCCGCGGCGTCTTTTTCTCTAGCATCTGGAGTGAGCGGGAAGCCCTGTCTACAGAAGAGCTCCACGGAATTCCGGTTTCGACCGAACGAAGCGACCGCCGAAATCTTGGTTCCCTACACCCTCAAAATCGGTCTCGGTTCCTTTGTCAAGGTGTGGTGAACTCTTCGCCGATCGATGATCCATTCAATAACGATCACTGCTGAAGTCTCCTCACTGACAAGAAACTGCCCAGCTCGTCTCAGATGCGCCTCGCACAACGCGTTACCGGACGCGGGGAGAAAGATGACGCGATCCCTAACTGGTCGTGGCTCTCATGGGACAGCATATTCGAGCGAGGCGTAACCGTTCGAGCGTTAGCCGGGAACTAGCGAGTCTAAAAATATCCTCCTTGTACCGTCTCATTCGTTGCGTCTTCTTCCAGGTGGGAGCTCCTTCGCGATAAGGAGGCGCTCGGGAACCTGCGCGGATGCAATCGACTACAGCGACAAGGGTTCCCAGTTTAGCTCTGTCGGTGTCACCACTAGGGGAAGAGCGTTCCATGAGGCGAGGCAAGCATCCGGCGGGGTTTCAGAGCCCGGCTGGTGCTTGCCTTGGGCAGTGCACAGATGTGCCCGAGCCACCTGAAAAACGTGTAGCGGACGTCTTATAACTGAGGTAAGGAAACAAGCTCGCGACCATCTGCCGCAGACGAGACGAACATCCTCAACGAGCCATTTCGACTCGGCTTAGGCTCAGTACATAGTCCCGAGCTCCGTCGTCGACCTCAGAATTCGACGATCGTGCGGTGTTCGGCTTCAACATGGACGGTGCGAAGTATAAACTCGTCGACTACAACGTTCCAACGGCAGGACGACTCGCTGCGTTGCTTTTCAATTACAAAAACATCGACTTCGAATACGTACAAGTCGACAAGTCGAAGGCTCACGAACAGGAAACCGGTGAGTAGATCCCAGTGGAATCCAGCGGGCTCCAAGATCGCCGGATGATGCTGTTTTGATCTGCGGGGAAGCTCCTTCTGAACCATCGTTCTCCATGTTCCTTTCTATCAGCTTCGCCTTTCGGGAGTCTACCGGTTCTGTACGTGAATGATGAGATACTCGCCACGGATTACGCGATCTGCATGTACATCGCTCGAGTGCACGGTGAGACGAATACGATAAGCAGATTCACATGCCTTCGGGAACACTTATTTGTTGAGCTTAGCGTCCGAAAAAAAATCCGGCGTTCCTGCGAAAGACACATCATGACTGTAAGACGTTGTATCTCTCGGGAATCTCAGGGTTGGAGGGCAAGGATGCCAAGGACGCGGCTCGATGCGCCACCATTGTGACGGGAATCGCCCAACTGTTCTCTACAGTACGTATAAATACTAGATCCGCCAGCTACCTTTCCGTAACTCTCGCTCGAAAAGATACTGTGAGTATTTATACTCCGTTCCCACGAACTGCGTTCAACGAAGCAAGATGGTTTTCTCTCGAGATAGACCGCTCGCCTTCTATGAGTCTCCGATCCATGCTTCCTCTACGTGATGGTATCGTGAGAAATATTCATGAGTCGTCGGCGCGAGAGAAGCTGGAACATTCTTTTTTATAGAAACTCATGGGAGGGAAAGATATTCGAGACAAGTTACCCAAATACTTGAGAAGCTTCGACAAGCTTCTGCGAAGGGTCAACACAGGATATTTCGTCGGCGAACAGGTTGGTCTACATAGCTCCGTGAATCGGTCAATATACGAATGCGACGAGAAGGAGTCGGAAGATCCCGAATCATGAGGAATGGAGTGAAAAACTTGTAGATCTCTGTCGAAAGTTAGTCCCGGTGTCGCTTCTCGATATCGGAACCCTAAGGGAACACTTTTGCGGGTTTTCTAGATCACTTGGGCGGATTTGGCGGTGGCGTTCTCCTGTCATCAGATCCAGGCGCGTTCCCACGGAGCCCTCGATCGTCATCCGAACTTGAACGATCACTACTTGAATATGTATTCGATACCGGCAGTTAAGAAATTCCTCGAAGAGACCTGTCCGTCTGAATAGCAGAAGGATCCGGTCAGGTATCTCCCATTGAGATACTGTGTTTCGCTCGACCGTCTCATCGAGTGAGCTCTGCTTGGCGGAACGAAGATCGACCTACGAGACGAGAATCCCTCGCTCGAGACAGTCAGTGATCAGATGATCGAAATTCAAATAGTCGAGCCGAACTTTTCCACGTGTAGCTTTTGCGAATCAGAGAGGCCGAGCTCCTGATAAGAAAGAACTTCTCCGCTACATGCCGGATCCCGATCACACGAGGCACGAAATTATCTCGTCTTGACGCAGACACATTTCCAACGCTTCAGAGTCCCCCCCGTCGATGTGATTGAGGAACATCGGTGCATGCATATGTCTCCAGGAAGAATTCTTCGAGGACGATTATAGGATCCGGAATTCTGAACCGTGCCGACCGCGATATTCGGACTGGTCTCGGTGTTTGCTAAGTCTCGGTTCTCTTCGAAGCACTTCGCGAAACTCACCTCTATTGCAATTATCAATGCCGGCCTCGAAATTCGATGTCTTCGCACAGAAGTCAGATCGAAAATGGATGCTTCGCAGATCATCGGGAGAGTCTGATCGCGCACTGAAGAATTTTCGATGTCGAACTCCGGGAAGGAATTTCTGTTGACCTACGATGTTAAAATAACGAATTCTAAGGGAGGCGTCTCAGCTCCAAGTTCGGAGACTCCTCGATCCTTCAGGATACCATCACAATTCAAACTTCGAGGCGGGGCAGATCGCGCCTCGCTCGTGTTGTCTAGATCTCGAGACTACCTATGGGTGGGTAGATCACCGCGTCGATAAGACTGGCTGAACGGAAACAGGGAGATAGGCCGAGAGATGATAATTCGTATGCAATCGAAAGCCTATGGTTTCTACATGTTCTGTGATACCACCCGCCGTTATGATGAATCTTCGAGCACTTCTCCGGCTCTATCTTTCCGGGGTAGGGACGACGCTCTGCATATTCTGATCCCTGCTACGCTGTGGCATTCTAGCGGCAGTTACCGTATTCTATGGCATCGTCGGAATGCAGCCTTTGAATGATATTTCGGCATGCACCGAGCCCAGCAGCCGCAGAAAAGCCGGGGTACACCATTACGTCATTTTCTGAGTTATCATTTGCTACGCAATCGCGGAACGCAGCTGAAGATTTTTCTCAAGACTATCTCCTGAGTGATCCCGATTCCAATCCAGATTGGGTAGTCATATTCATGGACCCAGATGTGGGATGGACTCCTCGCCTTGCCGACGAAGCCCAAGCACCCCCTGCGAATTGCATCGGCACTGGCGTTTCGAGCAGGAGTGACCCTCAAATTCGAAGTGTGAAATACTGCCCGAAGTTGGGGGCTTCCTCGGGAACTACCAGAGTTCTTCGAGTGCATTCTCCTGAAGCTCCATTTTCCTACAGAACGGTTAAATCCCCGGCGGGATCTTCCGTGTCTCTATCATTTTACCGGGGATCAGAGCTGCGCCCCCGCACTTTTGCCGCTGACCATCCGCGAGATTCATCTAGGTTTCTCGGTGGCTCGGCGGTATGAAACTTGATTGATCTCAATACCGACGATGGTATTGACTATGAAGAATCGTGCGAGTTTTCCGTCTTATATCCATACGTGCTACCTATATGTCCTTCTTGAGCAGCACCTGATGGTCCACGGGTCGCACTAAGCTATCTCATATGATATTTGTTAGATGACAGTTGGAAACGACGGAAATCGATGAATGAATAAACTCCTGAGCTCTAGTATGATCACATGCTTGCCATGGATGATGTACGCCTAACGCAACTCATCGCCGACGCTGCGACTGTACGCGATGATTGTTGTTCAGATGCATGCGACATTCAGGTGATACACCATTGGAAAGAAGGGTATATAAGGGGGCGAGGAGGAATCGCTGCTTCACGAAAGCCTCTCCGCCCGGAGGCTGATCGGTCGCCTCCCTTACCATCGACGGAGAACGATATGTACTCCTTGTCGCCACAAGAAACTCCTGGAATCTGGTGGGCTTCCTTCAGCTCAGTTCGATCACACGAAGCCATAATGAAGCTCCACGATTCGCCCCCTCGCCGAACAATGCCGTACAAACACAGAAAAAAAATGGAGTACCTTACGCTCTTTGGTCTTCCGTTTTTATTATTCCCAACACTCTAAGATTTCATGGTGGTTTGAACGATTCAGGCTCATGAACGGAGACTTTCCGACTGCAGGATAGTATTTACATATCTCTTCACTTCTCTCATCTCTTCTGTCACACAGCCCACCCCTTAGTGATATAAGTCCGCATCCCTCGTCTGCTATATCCAGCAGGCCTGTGCTTCGTGGTATATGGACAGAGCGAGCGTGGATCGGGGCAGAATATCCCCTATCACGTCCGCACGGAGCTGGCGCAGTGGAGGCTAGCGCCTCACCATGTGGCCCCACTCTCCCTTGGCTTGAGTATGGACTAATGAAATTCGGAATCTGAGGATCAAGTAAGTTTCTCCGACTTACGATCCTCATTCATTACCGTCGAACGGATCCTGTGAAGTTTTGACTCGAACCCGCGTCTCAACGGTCTGCTCTTCGGAGCATGGACGCCGTATGGGCTGAATGAATCTGAATATCCGGGGATCTGGATCAATCAAAGAATCAACACGGACTCTGAATCATCCGGGCTCAAAATATGATGAATTCTCAGTGAACATTTACATATCGAGCTAAATCATCGAGGAAGAATACTCGATTAGAGTAATTGAACCGATTCAAGCCACTGGCTCAAAATGGTCGTAATGCGAGGGTTCTCCCGTGGGGAAATATATCTACAATCGCGCATCGGGTTCTCTGAGCGAGAATTCTCGTACGACGGCATCCACCCATTCATCGTAGGTGATCGTCAGCTCTTCCATGGTGTCGGCAAAACGAATCAGACCAGAGATGAGCGGCGAGAGAAACTAGAAGAAGCCTGAAGCTGTGCAAGAATGGATATTCCTCTCATGACTGAATCATCCAACCTCGTCCCGACCACGTCCGTTGGAGAGATCCCAGCGAAACCTCGAGGAGCACCGAATGCAACCTCTAGAGAGAACCGCCACCGAGATCACTATTTCGAAAAGTTCTTCGACCGATAAGTCGGGTGACCGAGATTAGCCCACCGAATTACCGAGGTACAAACGCTGAATTGATGCGAGCTGACGAGGGAGAAGCAGCCGCCAGAGTGAGATTGACTGCATCTTGAAATAATTAATATCGAGGAAGAACGCGACAGATGCCGGAGAAAGGGTCTCCTGTCACAGTGCCTGAGGACGGCGTCGAGACGGCCGCGATTTCCCTTCGAATTACCTATGTCGAAGCTCCTAGCCAACGTTTACGGTCGGCTATACCTGCAAAGAGAAGAGGAGAACGTAAGGCCATATTCCTCTTAGGAAGATTAAATAGGGAGACTTCCTCTCTACATCAACACCTCCGTGGAATGAGATTTGATCAGCCCCTCAGGAATATTCCCATACAGAATATAATTCGCAAGAATCAATCGCATGTTTCCGAGAGCCGAGGCCTTCCTTTCCCGCATAGCAGCGGAGCTTTTTCGAATGAAACCAAATTATTGGCGACTTGAACACGATGCTAACGACAACAGGAGCGGCTCAAGCTCGGGAATCCGAACTCGAACTGGTCACTCAAATGGAAATTGAGCTCCCTCCCCGTCATCCGATTTGAAATGGCGGAGGCAATTCTCATCCGTCGTCCGGGCGAGTTCCGCCCGGGATTCTCGAATTAGACAATCCAAGCTAGACTTACTTCACTGAGAATTGGCCGGATCCTCAGTCCGGCTTGTGGATGATAAGCTTTGGAATGAATTCTATCAAAAGAACCTGGAAGAGAAATAGTTCGCTTTAGAAGATCGAGAGTGAAGGGCGGTCTTCACAGGGTCATACGACGTCACGGGACGATGGGCTCCACAAGGATGAGTGCGATAAAGTTCAGTGATTCAAGTCCGTTGGGGAGAATATTTAGGATTTTTTGGGGAAAAAAACGGAGAACACGAGGTACTTCGCTCCCCTCTCGATTCGGATTGCTAAGGAGCAATTCGCCCGGGGAAACCTCGAAAGTATGTACGTCACTTACATATTCTAGCATTGAGGACGTATCACAGCGTTGTTTCGCCAGTCTCCAGCGGAGACCAAGCTTGTTGTACAATTGAGAGTTTTCCCAGTCGAGGAGCTTCTCCAGACAATGTCGGGTCCTCTTCGAAAGGCAAACTACAGGCCACAGCGAACATCCCAGGGTGCAGCAGCAACACAGGCAGCCGCAGAACAACCATTTGACGCTCACCTGGGGAAGGCAAATTACGAAATTACAGTCAACAACGCGTTCGTCAGTCGCTGCTCTGGGATAAGCGACGAACTTGAACGTTGTCATGATAAGTCATGTGAATTAGACCATACCGGCAAAGTTTTCCGGAGGATTGAGTTTACTCTATAGAGAGATGCCTTGAATTCCTCGGGAGCGACCTGAAACCAGGGATACGAGCGAAGTTTAGGAGAGAACGTTTGATTGCCGAAAGTACATGAGTGAATCTGCAATATTTATTTATATTCGAAGTTCGAAAAAATCGAGCATGTATCCCGTGACGTACTTTGGCGGACAATTGTGACGGGAACTCCGTATCGAATTTGTTACTCAAGCCGAATCTGGAATAAAATGAAGTCTAGGTTTGAACCCACTCAAAAAAAGCTCGAGGGATCGCCGTCGACGTATTCCGAAACGGAATGAATGTTTACATAGAGGATGGCCATCCGTGTGTTGCGTCACATTGAGATAAATATAAACCGACAGAGCGATATGGGAGAGGTTTCAGGAACCCTTGCGAGCGAATAGACCGCTCTTCTGACTCGATCCGGCAGACTGACATGGGAAGAAGAATCAAATCGCGCTCGTTGGGGGTCGCTGACCTCAGGAGGGCATAGTTGGAATCGAGACTGGGGAGAGTCCGAGAAAAGACGTTCACGGCAACGGACGGAAACGCTATCGATAACGGCAAGAAAAAAAAACTGTGTCTCGAAGCCTAGGTGGCTGTCGGCCACCGGAGGAGGAAGCGGCCGCGTCGCGGCCAACCGGGGCGCCACCGCTATCGGTTTTCCCAGCTATTCGGAAACTCGCACCGAATGGCGAGACAACAATCGGCAGCGTCGTTTTCAAACCAAAATATCACCTATCATCGCAGCAGCAGCGGCCAGAGTAGGACTTGTTTTCCGGAAACGAGCGTCTCACATCGGAGAAGCGAAACGAGCCCCGGAACCGCATTCCTAGTCGAGAAGCCCTCGACTCCCATCGCTACCGTCGATTTCGGGTCGTCCCCAGTCGTGCATCGATCGTTTGCATCACCGCAGCGCCAGAAATGAGAATCTCCCGGTCCGAGATGAGTTTGCCTCGCATACTTCATGTGGACTCATTGCACGGGTCGCGTCCTCAAGCGAGGATCGGTGCGACCAGAGCATATGGGAGAATACCGGAGAAAACCTCCCGAACCATCTCGGACGCGACTTCAATACACCAAGCGATACCTTCTTTCTGTCTGACTCCTCTGATATCATTCAGGATGCAGATGAAATTGAGGATATTCGGCCACTAATCGGATAGCGCGAACTGACCGAGGAGAGAGGCGACCTAAATGATCCAGATCGGGTCAACGATAGGATATGGTGCAGAAAGAGCATTGTCCCGTATTCTCCTGAATTAGCAAATGCACAATTTTCGTGCAGAATTATTTCCCTCAAACCCGACGAGGGAGACGAGTCTGTACTTCCAAAGAGTTTCGGTCTTCCCGTTATTGGATCAATTCATCCTGATATTACCCGAAGCCGGCCGACCGGCGATTTTTCCCGCTTCTCTCGACTCATCGGTCATGGAACATTTTGACCGATGACTTCGCTCGCATGCAAAGTAATCGGGCAGAATCGCAATCAAACAAGCTTCGATGTTATTTCCTCGGACCGAGAGGAGGACACGCGCCCCGGCAAAAGCGGTCCTTCATTCGATAAGCTTCTCACGGAAGGAGAATCTTCAGAAGTTTTCACACGGAGACTCTGCGACTCAAACGTCAGTTTCTCGACATCCGGCTTTGAACTCCGCTGAATTGGACACCATGGCCGGCTCTTGAATCGCTGATTCGGAATCGTTCAATCGGTGGATATTCCTCCCTCCGCTGCCCTGTCATGGAGCTCGGAAGGCCAGAAAGTTTCGATTGAGTGGTTGGAGAGATGCTCTTCGATTTCTCTCAAAGGTCCGTAGTTTTCAATGCAATCAAGCCACACTCGGTCCGAGGTCAACAGGAAACGAATCATCGCGAGCGATGCAAATCGGAGAGAGGCCTCCCCTTTCCAGTTGAGAACTTCTTCCTCACTTTGCTGTAAAATAAAAGAGTCATGATGCGAAAACTCCGACCATGTGAAGAACATGGTCGTATACAGACCGTGACCACCGCACAGCGGAGATTTTTCATGAAACAGCCCATCGGCTCAAAGCGGCGACTCATTCTCGCAGATGAGTCCGGATGGAGAGCCGGACTCATCAGCGTCGGTTTGAGGGTCAAAATGAAGGAAATTCGGGTTTTTCCCCTGTCAAGCCGGCCTGGATTTCCCCAGGTCACTCCTCATTCCCACGATGAATGCCCATGACGACGCGACGCTTACAGAAGGGGGCGCACTGAGGGTCGAATCAGTTCCCGTTCGACTGCTTCTGAGAGAAATCAGGTCGATCCTGACGGGGCGAGCTCCACGAAACTCCTGATTGTGTAATTCTCTCCTCTGGATCTCAATGATCGACTCCGCGGATGATCATCTCGGAGCGCACGGTGGAACTCGAGCTGGCCGGTCCATGAATGTCCCGGTCCCCAGGCTCGTAATATCGCCTGCCACGGAATTCCCAGCGTAGCGCTGGAGTCAGACCTCGATCCCACCGCTTGTGGAAGGCACTCACCCGACGAAACTTAAGAATGAAGGAGCAGAATAAAGCACGAACAAACGACTGAAACTTCTTCCTCGCCTTTCTTCACAAAAACGCGTGAGGGTCACGACGACGAAGAAGCAGCAGCAGCCGGGGGCCCAACACGCGACGCAGAACAGGCTGCGCTGAATTGTCTAAGATACCGTATTCCTCTATGAACTCGGAATGGATGCAAGCGGAACAGAGCGACCATGTTCGCACTCACAGCTCATCCGTTCCGAACCAGGCTCCGAAGACCGCTTCTCTGCCGAAGCCGGATCGAAGAAGGAACGAGCCTTGTTCTCAACCCGACCAGCTGATTTCGCAGCTGAACGGAATTCACGGCCTCGGACTTCAGAGCGATGAGAGGTGACTTACACTGTCATATTTCCAGCTCCTCTTATGATGACTGGTTCAGGTACTATGAAGGTATCCTCCGGCACTTGCAGTTCGTCTTCGTCGATTTCCAACACCATTATCGCGTCTAGCTCTGCCATGTTATTGAGCGAAATTCCTCCCGACACAGGAGCTTGGGAAACCGTCGTCGACATCTTTTGACACCAACGCCGTGCCCGAGGAGCTAGTTCATCGTCAAGTTGAGAACTGCGCTGGGCAGAAGGGATCTCGAGGAAAACTCGTCCCTCGGCACCTTGCGAATGATTTTACGCAACACTCAAATATGGTGGAACGTTCACCAGCAGTGGTAGCAGCGGCGATCGCAGCAGCACAGCAGCTATACCAACAGCACCACCACAACAACAGACCCGACGCGAGAAGACGAAATGGGAGAGAGAGGAGCTCTGAGAGAGGACACGCGTTTTCGTCGGCTACGAGGATTGCCGCGACTTCTTATCTCGATCGTCTGCCTGATTCATCCTCGTACATGCGGAATGATTGAATCTTTTTGTGGAGCATGCCTCCTCCTCGGGAGAATCGTGGTCAATCCATTCGCAGCATCATGATTCATGATTGACCGACGGAGCTTGAAACCGAAGAATGCGCGGTTCTCCGACTGAGCCGGTCGCGAGCCTGACTCATTCAGGTCATCCCCTCGAACACGAATGACAGCAGCCTTCGAGTACGTCGAACCGTAGCGGCCACAGCTTCCGTTCGAAACTATGCGGAAGAGCGCTATCAGTGAGGGTTCAGAGCTAGATACCCGTCTCCTTTCGGAGAAATCGTCCGGATAAGCCGGGTGCTCCGAGGATGAGGAGTGCCTCGCGTGCTATGGCTGTCTTTAGTTTCAGAGAAGTGAGTTCAAGCTCTGACAAAATCATCTCGTACGGAAACGATTTCCATCTATATCACCGCGAACGAGATCGAGTCCCCTTCCACGAAACGCCTTCGAGATACGAGGTCGAGGAACGAAACATATCGCGGGCTTCGGCGGAGCATGTCTCATTCTCGGCAAGAAGTCGGTAACTTTCAAAGAAAACGTTCCTCTATGAATAAGGTGTTGTCAAGAGATTCACAGCAGGGGACAGAGGAACCATACACCGGAGCTTGAATGGACTCAGCCGCAGCGCTCTTCACGCGATCCAGGCCAAGAATTCCAAGATATTTAAATAAACGCAGCCGACCCGTCCATTCTCCAATGTATGGGTCCGAGTTTGCTCTTCGAAAGCAATGCCTGCCTTCCATGAATCTTACATGATGAGGGCTATCGAGCGATTCGACTCCGAGACGCACCTCTCTACCACGTTGAGAATCTCGGGGCCGAAGTCGATATCCGGCGAACGTCCTCGATCGGAGGACGCCGCGGAGAGCGTTTGGAGTCAAATCATACAGCGGTCGTATACTGAGGGAAGTAACAGGCGATATCGTCCAGCTCAGGGTTGAGACGGATGAAGAGGAATTCAGCGGGAGGAGTCGCTGGGCCGAAAGGCTCCGTGATTGCTATCCTGCGTCCAACCTACGGCAGTGAGGCGAAATCAGAACGTAAGCAAATCGATACCTGAGGCTCTTTTCCCCAATAGATCGTCAGATTCAGGATTATACTTCTGTATCGTGTAGGACGTCGGTATGTCCGCAGAGGACATCCCAGATGAAGATTATGACAGAGACGATGAGACTTACTTTCGACGATGGAAACCTTATGGACCTCCCCGAATCGATCCCAGGCCCGCTCATCCGACCAGAGCCCCTCGAATCGAATTCCCCAAGCTCCCGCCCGAAAAACTAGATCTGTATTGTTTTTTCGGCGCCCAAACCCCTAAGCCGACATGCCCATGTCGGAGTCTTGTACGTTTGTATGCAGTAGGCGGTGTTTGAGAACCTGGATACTTGAGTCAGGTACGCGATCGTCAGCAAATCTCCACTAATGGAGGAGATCCTTGTTAATAGATGCGGCGACATATCTTCATACAGTGATCGTCTGATCCAATGGGAGCGCATTCACAACACAGATGAGATGGGGGATATCGTAATCTGATCGTTGACCCCTGGAGCTCTCGATCGTTGAAGAGACGAGAGAATTCCCGTAGCAGATCTCGTTCGAAGAGGGTCGATGTTCGCACAAAGCCTAAACGAAGACACCATCTATTTTATATATTCGTGGAGCCACTTCACTATCCAATCAGCACTCTGTACGTTGTGAGCAGTACGCCGATTGTACGCTCAGCACGCCATTTGTACGCTCAGTACTCCGGTCGTACGTCATTTGCACGCTCAGTACGCCGATTGTACGCGCAATATGCCTATCTTAAGCTCAATGCGCCGATGGTCCCCTCACAACACCGATTTTCCGCGGAGTATGCCGATCGTGCATGGAGTACGCCATTTGTTCGCTCAACGCGCCTGCTGTACGCAAAGTACGCTGATTGTACGCGAAATACGCCTCCCATCCAGGCGCGATCCCATGCGCGATTCCTTCGAATGAACTCACGGAGCTCGACACCGAGTCCCTGCCAGACGCTTTGCGACCCCCCTGCGCAATGGTCATACATGTTGGCAGTCGACGCCATCGACGCCGAACTGGACGAATATATTCTCCCCTCTCTGTGAGATGGGAGCGAGAAGTCTCATATTGGACCGTTTCACCTTCCAAGAGCGCGCCGCCCGAATGCCGATTGGACCGGAGTCTCTGATTGGGATTGGGATGCTTGAACGAAGGACCATTGCTTTTGCGGCATTGGAGGCCGGAGGATTCTCGAGCTCCTAGGAAGGACGAAAATAGTATTTTCCAAATTCCGGCGCCCGTCGCTGTCGGTAGCTCCTCGTCGAAGCGCAGGTAAGTCGGAATTCCTCGACAAACTAACACACATACTTCGCCGACGACGAATGGATCGCTGGCTTCGGACCGCGATCCGTTCCTAAGGGGAGTGGAACAATTCTTCAATCATGGTTGCTTAATTTTCTCCGCGGCGGATGCTCCGGTCGTACCCTTCCTCCTAACGGCACTCATCCTGAGTACTGTGCTCCCAGGAGCCGCTTCGCTCGTATATTCCGAGGATGAAATGCATAACACTTACACCGGAAGCATCAACGATTCGAAGAACGTCGTGCATACAAATAGATCGAGTGCATCCCTGCCAATTAGCAGGTTCGACTTAGAGACAAACTCGCCGACGACCCGTCCTACGAATCGAGCCAGGCTGGGAATGTTTTTCCCTCGTTCGAGTTCGGAGTTCATAGGAGGCTCCACTGGGATATGACGGAACTGTCGGGTTTACCGGGGGACTTCCCGATGAGCTCATTCAAGCAGCCCATCATTCCGAGCTTGCGGACGCAATCGAAACCTACCTAGGTATGTTAGCAGACAGGTGAGTATCCTCGCAATCCGAGATCGACGCCGACAAATTCGGAGAAAGCATGAAGGAAACGAGAGCGACCCTGAAACGACCCTATCCATAGTCTTGAATGACTCCAACCGTTCATAGAATATCGGATCAGAGATGCAGTGTCATTCGACACCTTCCGGTGCCTATCGGGATGCTCACCGAAGAGGCCCGAGAAGCCCGACACGAGGAGGGTCGTCATTTTCGGCAGCACTACACGAGGGAGAAGTCGACAGCGGATTCGAACTTCGATCTCTTGACTATGCTCCTGATCCACTCCGATCCGATCGTAAACATTTTCCGGAAGATCGAGAAACCAAAGCAGAGCAGCAGAGGTTCGGATGAGGCATTCCGGTTGGTCCGAGCCAGTATTTCAGATATCAGCCCGAAGCAGTCGGATACAGCGAACGACACGAGCTCGGAGCTCTCTCGAGAATCCGGATCCTCCCTGGACTCGAAATGTAAGGATCATGCTCCATCTGAATTCGGTACCGAGTCCGAATGTGAGGACTAGAATTCCAAGACTTTCTCCGATCACATCTTGCTGTAATTATCCATTGCCGAAATCCCTGAGATGGCTTCCGATGAAACGATCCGAATAATCGAATTGCATGACATCACTGCCGCTTGTCATCTCTTTCGAGCTAGCCAGACATATCCGATTGCTTCCTGGCTAGTGTTTCTGTTTATCGCTGGAAGGGTTCGCTAAAATCGGTGCCATCGAGCATGCTCTCTGAGTGAGAAAGGAGAGGGGGATGGGGAATAGGGGGACATTATTCCAGTCTGGATCGAGATGCGACGGCATGAATCCGTAGTAACAATCGTCCGCTTCCATCTCAAAGCCTCCGAATGCTCCGACGAACCTACGAAGTCGTTTCTGACACCTGAAACCGTGTTTCGCCCCACTGTGGGTGCGGACTGCTCACAGCGAACAGAGTGCTCATGTACTTTCCGATCTCAGCGATACCCACATGTTTATAAGCTCGATCCAGCAACCGGCTGGATCGAGTACTGATTCAACGGCTAGAGATTTGAGGTTTAAAAGTATGGATCGAATGATTGTCTGTTGCGTGAAACCGAAGCGGATCGTGCGCGTAGTATTTTACTGGAGTCTCTTTCTGAGGTGTCAGCGTCATCGATGGGAGATTTGAGGATGTCCGAAAACGACCTGAAGCCGCGATCGTGATTGGATGAAGAACCTCTTTCGGTGAAATCTTGATTAGGCGGAAACGCGTAGTGTCCGGATGCGTATCCATCGTTGTCGACATAGGGACCCGAGGAGGCACGAGTCGAGTAATTCATGGACTCTCGGTTTTCCGGCGGAGGCTCTGAAGGAGTCAACGAAATTTCCTCGAGTCCTGAAGGAATGCTTATTGGTGACCATGACAGCAGGGTATCGCCGTCGTCCGCAACAAACCCTCGCCTGACTGTTTTCGGAGAGCGCTCACCGGCCGGAGTTCCCCAAAATTCTCTTTCCGCTTCGAAGTCAACTCCTCGGAGTAGTGATCCGAAGGAATCCGCGCTCCCGGTTTCGCCCCGGGCTCCGGCGCGAGCATACCCGCTTTCGTTCGATGGAATTAGACTCTTTGGCCATGCATTTTGTGCTTCGTCCCATGCGCTCTGAGTTCCATCCCATTCGCTAAAAGTTCCACCACATGTGCTCCTGGTCCCATTCCCTTCGTCCTCAGTTACATCCCATGGACTCGGACTCCTTCCCCATGCACTTCGAGATTCTTCGCACGGGCTAAGCACGGGAGTCCTCTCCCACGGACTCTGGGTTTTTTCCCATAGATTTGTAGCTTCGAGCTCTGGATCTTCACTTCTCTCCCGTTCGCCTTGGGTTCCATCCCATTCGCCTTGGGTTCCATCCCATTCGCCTTGGGTTCCATCCCATTCGCCTTGGGTTCCATCCCATTCGCCTTGGGTTCCATCCCATTCGCCATGGGTGTCACCCCGT